GAATACAGCTCTATACTAGGCGTGGCGGAAGCCCAATTAAAGCCACCCTTTGGCAACTTTTTTTGGGGCCTATATCCTATAGATATATTAATAGTCGTGAACGGCCAACGGGCGACATAAAAGCCCAGTGAAACTCGATACGATTGTTCGCTTTTCGTTTGGTTGAGAATAGGAAGGGGAAAAAAACACCAAGCATGTATAAAGCGGTTGGCATTTCCCATTGGAAGGTGAAATGCCATCGAGGTGTTTTCAATAGTGGTTGGACTTGGTGGGAAATGGAATACATTTTCAAGAAATTGAGGATTTTCAATGCTCCCGTCACGAAAAAATTGAGTTTTTCAGCTTTATCTCGAGTTTTTCATGATGGAAAATCAGTTTAGACCAACTTGAAACTCAAACTCGGAACCGTTCCTGAGCACTTCTAGGGATCACTTAAGGATGTTGAAGCTGCTTAAGTGGTCACTAGAAATTTCCAGAAACGTACGGCGTCCGGATCGTGTTGCCAAGATTCACGGATGAGGAAAGAAGAATAAAATTAAAAAATGGAAAATTTTGGGTGGTGCGCTCCAAGGAGAATGGGCGCCAAATCAAAATTCAAAAATTTTTCAATCTCTTTCCATTTCATTCATTTTTCATTAGTTTTCTTCATTGAATTTTTTGTTTAACCTGTAATTTCCATTTCTAAGTATTTCATTCGAAACTAAACGCTTCGAAAAACAAAAGAAGAAGGTTGACGAAATAGACGGCTTTACGGACCGAAACCAATCCTTTTTTCCTTTTCTTTTATTCCGAAGTGAATAAAAATGTGCCCCGGCGAGATCATTTCAATGGTTTCGGCCCACTTGCCCCCTCCTCGTTTGTCGCAAATTCTATTGGACTTTTCTGGATGGATCTTTTTTTGATTGATTCGAGTTTGAGAAGAGGGAATATTCAGAAAAAACATTTCAAAAATTGAAAACCTGAAATTACTAATTTTCAACTGGTTTATGTGAAAATCAAGATTTCTCTCATTGAATCTTAAAATTCCCCCTTTTTCATCAAAAATTGTTCCATGCTATTCAGTCAAAAACCCTGAATAAGCTCCAAGAACATTTTTCCGCTCTTTCATAAAATCACCTCATTTTTCAGGTCCGAAGTACACCCAAAAATCGATAGAGATCAGAAATTATCAGCGTTTTCGGCCCGAGAAACGTCATAATCGCCTGCGATGATTGCTAATATTTGCATATTGGAGGGACAAGCGATCGTTCTTGTTCAGCTTCTTTCATTTTTCCCCCAAGGATTATGTACGTTTCTCTCTTTCTTTTTCAGTACGAAAAGTTGACAGAAAGCCAGTTCATGACCTTTTTCTGTGGGTTTTTATAAAGTTTTTGAAGCGTAGAATCGTTTTCAGGATTGTTTTGGTTTACTAAAACCATGTGCCTTTAAAATTTTTTAGGAAAATTGAAAAAAAATTGAAAATTTTGTAAAAACTTTATAGAGAACAACTCTGACTTCAAATAAAATGGAAATACTGGACTTTTTTCTTTTCAGAAGAGTTTGAGGCCTTATAATAGGTTTCAGAAGTAAAAAGTGACTTTTTTACTTTGCTAAAACGCGTAATTCGCAGTTTTTCCGATAGATTCGAAATCAGAGAGTCCTAAAAAGTCTTCCAGCGAAATTCCATCAAATTCTGAACATTTTCCTTTCAAGAAAGTACTATTTCAACTTTTCTTTCATGGTTTAAAGGCGCAGGACTCCAAAAATAACACCGAAACGCTTTTTCGCTTCTAAACCCTCATCGTCTAGAACTTTATCAAGTTTTCAATTAAAGTTTCAGGTTTGTAAAAATTTTTCTGCTCGAAGCGGAAGTCTACAATTATTTTTAAACTTTCGTTTTTCAAATTTAAAATGACTCATCGAGGTAACACTTAACGAGAAGCCCGTTTCAAAAGAAGTTACGCAATCACTTTTTCTCTCCCTTTCGAATTACTGATATTAAGTGAGCGGTTTTACGTCAATGACAACGTCAGAGAAGGTATGAATTAGAGGCTCAAAACAAAAAAAAGAAAAAAAAGCGAGAAATTTGTAAGAATACGCGTGTCTCTTTCTCTCCTTCTTTTTCTCGTTTTTTTGTCTTTTCAATTGTTTTTTTCTACCCACTCGTTTCTATGGTAATGTGAAGTGTGGATTCGAAAAGTTTTCAGAGTTGCACTTCTTCTCACCTTTTTTTGATGTTTAAACGCGTCCCGGTTTGTTTAATTAGATAATTATTGAAGTACACCTGGACTTTGTATCATAAGGTGTGACGGAAGTAGAGAAATGAGTGGTTCAGATTATTTTTAGGGTTATTATAGGTACATGAGAAGTTTTTTTGAGAAATTTTCATCATGATTATTTTTCTAACTTTGAAAATTTCGAGCAAATCAGCTTTGGAACACGCAAAATTTGTCTGTAGGCTTAAAAAAGCCTACCGGGTTTTTGAAGAAGCATAGGCTAATTTTCTGAAGGTCTTAAAACGAAGAGCCGTTGTAAGAAGTCATGGCAGACCTATGCGTCTTTAAAACGCCGAAACGGGCTTTAAAAACATTTTTTTATGAATAAGGAAATGCACAGAATGTAATAATACTCATGTCCATTTGGAGAATTTTCCGAAAAATGTGGATTTAGAGCTGTCCTTGATGGACCAATAGCAAAAATGACAAAGAAATCCTGAAATTATATAAATTTTTTGTTGTATTTCAATATTCATTAATTATTTCCCTGTCTCTGGCGAAATTTCAAAAGTCGAACAAGAGAACAAACCAATGTTTTTGGGTGATTCAACGTTGGACAGAAGGAGAGAAAAAAAAACTTTTTTTGTTCCGGACAGCCCCTTCTGTTTTCCCTTTCGATGTTTGCTGACATGATGAATAACTACAGCCCACATGGTGGAAATGAACGGACTTCTCTTTATAACCGTGTACTTTGCGATTAGAAAAATGGTTCTCTTTGTTTTTTTTTTTAAAGATTTCAGAGGCATTTCGATTCGACTCATTCAAAATTCTTTATGAAAATTGCAGTTCCTCGTACTTTTTCTCCTAATTTACCGTTCGAAAGAGCTTCTTGGCGCTTTTGAAGAGTTGAAGATAATTGCCCTTCCTACCAAATTTTAAAGGAACATGGATAACTTTCAAAAAAGGTTTCGAGGCGAAGAGCGCTCTCGTGCGAGATCAGCTTTTTTATAAGTCCAGTTCTGGTTGTTTTCGACAGACAAACAAACTGAAATCTACATAAAGTTCGGAATTTATTGTTTTTTTTTTTCGAAAAAAATGTTTTCGAAATAAACCAAAAAACGTATTTTTTTCAAACGCGTTTTTTTGGTTTTAAAAATTGTTCCATTATTTAATTTAACGGATAAGAAATGGAAATTTTTATGTTCCTTCACCCTCGTAAATGAGTCTGTACAATAGTTTTTTAAGTTTTTTAGAGTGAAATAGTCCCATTTGTCCAAAAAATCACGGCTCTTCGTCTTGAGACCTATTTGAAATTTTTTGATGCCTTTTCGAGCACACCTGTAAGAATTTTTGAAAAGACTTTAATTCGAGTCCATTTTTTCATTTTTAATCAACATTCAAACTTGTTTTTAACTGTCTTTTTCACTACGCCGTTTGGACGGTCTTCAGATATGTGAACCAGTTTATTTCTCTCGCTTTGTTTTTCTCAAATACTTGGCAATTGTGGAGAATGTTGGGCTTTTAGCGAAGTGAGCGCTTATCGACGTTTCCATGTACAAACTGCACGGAACACGACTCGGGCCCGCCGCCGCAGGTGACAAGGGCCGCGCTCCCTGGCAACCGCGTGACTCTCCGGCCGCCACTTCGTATTATTCATTTCATTTCAGTTGATTTCAATCCGTGTGCTTCTCCCCAGGTTCACTTTTACTGACGCCTCCTCACTCTCTCTCCGCCCGGACGGCCGGCTGCTTCAATTCTTCTCCTGCAACTTTCATTTCACGCCACCAGGAATGGCCATTCATCCGTTCAAAGAAATTTTCATACTGTTCAGCTCAGAAACCGTTACTAACTGATTCCGCGGCTCCTTCCTCAATGCAAGTGAAGATCTATCCAAGAGCTTCATTTTTTTTTTTGAGACGCGTCGGGAAATTACTATAAATCTGACGCACTCTTTTGGAAATCACGGAGTAAACTCTAGAGTTGGTTATGAAAAGTTTGACAGCTACTAGCACAAAATTCCCATTAAGAGATGGAACTTCAAAAACTGAAAAAAAAAGAAAAAACGAGCACCCCATTTTCAAGTTTAATTTCTTATTTTTATACACTGTACGAGGTGTCAAAATTACATGCAAACTCCGTCTTATTATCATATTACCATCTAACCGTGAGTGATATCAAAAAAACAAAAAGTTAATATTCAAAAGAAAAGAAAAAGTAACTTTGAAAAATTGAAAAAAAAAGTTTATCGCTATTAAAGGAGCATCGTACCGCGCGGCCAGAAAACTCTGCCACGCCGCGCCTTCGCGAAGAAATTCAAATTTGTTTGCCGCTCTTTGGCGCGAAGTTTTCGCTCTCTGTATTTCGTCATGTTCTCTCCTAAAACTGTGTTTTGTTGTTCGTTTTTTTCATGTTATTTTGTTAGTTTTTTTATGCGTTTTATAACAAAATTGCTGTTCTCGAAAACCAAAATGCCTTAATTTCGTGAAATTGAGGTTGATGAACTGCTTTTTTTCGAAAAATTTAAATTTTGCTCTCCAATAATTTTTATCATGGATATTCCAAGGAAAAAAATTTGAAACGCTTTGAAAGAATTTTTTTTCCTTTTTCTCCGAAAAAAACCTTTTTGAATTCGAAGAATTTTTTTTGGAAAAAAACTATGTTTTTTTCACAAAAAAAGCGAACTTTACTTGCTTCATCCTTGTTTTGAAACCTGAATTTCACAGTTCTTAAACGTCGTCGCCCTATCTTTTTTTTCTTCTTGCCTTCTTTCAGTTATTTGTTTTCAGTAACTTCTCCAGCCTAAAGATGTCGGATAACAAGGAAGACCTTGTCCAGCGCGCCAAGCTCGCCGAACAGGCTGAACGATACGATGACATGGCGCAAGCCATGAAGAAGGTATACTTTTGCAATTTTTCGATTCATTAAATAAATTCAACTTATTCCAGGTGACTGAGCAAGGCACCGAGCTTTCCAACGAGGAAAGAAACCTTCTTTCCGTTGCCTACAAGAACGTCGTTGGAGCTCGTCGTTCAAGCTGGCGTGTCATCTCCTCAATCGAGCAGAAGACCGAAGGATCCGACAAGAAGCAACAGATGGCCAAGGAATACCGCCAGAAGGTAAATTACCGTTTATTTTTGAACTTTTTCAAACATATTTGTTGTTATAGCAAATTTTGTTTTACCTTATAATTTCAGGTCGAGAAGGAGCTGAATGACATCTGCCAGGATGTGCTCACCCTTCTGGACAAGTTCCTCATCCCGAAGGCTGGATCTCCTGAATCCAAGGTGTTCTACCTGAAGATGAAGGGAGATTACTACCGTTACCTCGCCGAGGTCGCTTCTGAAGACCGTGCGGCGGTCGTCGAGAAGTCGCAGAACGCCTACCAGGACGCCTTCGACACGGCCAAGGAAAAGATGCAGCCGACGCACCCGATACGCCTCGGCCTTGCCCTCAACTTCTCCGTCTTCTACTACGAGATCGTGAGCACACCGGAGAAGGCTTGCCAGCTCGCCAAGCAAGCGTTCGACGACGCGATCGCCGAGCTCGACACGCTCAACGAGGACTCGTACAAGGACTCGACCCTCATCATGCAGTTGCTGCGAGACAATCTCACTCTGTGGACCTCGGATGCTGCCACCGACGAAGCTGAATATTCTGAGCAACAGACGGAAGCGCAGTAATTAGGTAGATCTGAACTATATCAACTTTTCCTTATCTTCGAATTTCCAGATGAATCTTATGACGGTGAAAGAATCCAGATCCGAATGCCCTCTCACGTTTAAACTTGGTAACTTCTGTGTTCTCATCCCTGCTAATCGTCTCTCTTTTTTCAGCGTAAAAGATTTATGGCTTGTTTTTTTGTTCTCACAACTTTAATGTTCGGCCACCTTTCGACTATTCTCCACTTTTTTTTTAATCTCCTTTTGTCACCCAAACTTAACTTTTATTTAAATTTCACCATTGGGTAACCTCTTGTTGATGTTTGAAAAGACGATAGAATATTACCTTTTCTTCACGAATTTGTTTTTCTTTTTATCAAGTCATGAGGTTGCCCAATATCGCTCCCGTTTTCTATTTGCTCCTCATGTTGTCTTTATAAAATTTTTGTTCTACGAAATAAAGTTGAAGTAGAACAATAGAAGGTTGTTTTGTTTTATGAAGAAGTTGCTAATGGCAACCCCGCGAAGTCGGTGATTTGTGTCGTACTTTTCCAAGAACAAAGGCTCCAAGTGATTAAAATTGTAGTGGAGCTGTGTCAATTGATACCGTGTTTTCTCCAATGGCATAAGGTTGGTCATTGATCAACTTCAAATCTCACTATATTTATAGTTGTTAAAATCAAGCAGAACTAAATTAAAATAAACTTTTGAAAATTTGTTACGTTGAAGAGTTTGTATTTACATTGATTTGTTTCTAGTTTGATCATAATGTCGTGTTTGTAGTTCACTAACGACACGTCGACGTGTCTTAAAGTCGAATATTTCTGGATTTTTTTTTCGGTTTTATCAAAGGGCACCGTCGCGAGTGTTCTTATCAGTTTTAAATATAGTCAACTGATCAAATAGGGAAAAGAGTTCTGCAGCTTTTCACTTTCAGATTACTGAAGAAAGTGGTTATCGATTGAAAGTCTTGGGATCCTTTCCTCAAAGATCATCTCTGAAAGTTTGAAAAATAAAAATATAAAATGAAAAAGTCAAGTTTGTAAAAAAATTATATTGCAAAAAGATACTCGATTCGCCACATTTTTTTCGAATGAGAAAAAAATTTTTGACAGCTTTTTCAACTCAATCATTATTACAATTTGAATCGATTTCAGAACAACATATGTAATTTCTGAACTTCTACAATCCTTTCTAAGGCAGAAAGAGGAGATAAAAAATTTTTTTTGAAAAATGAGCTCCACTGAAAAAAAATTTTAGCCACTCTTCGCTGCGAAGCCCGTTTCAAGTTAAGTCTGTGCTCCTTGAAAAATACATCGAAATTGGAATTTTTCATTTTTTGCTCTTCATAACTCGTTTAAATCATTTCTTTAGTTCATATATTTTTCAACGAACAGCTATCCAAAATGGCGAGTCTGTGTAGGATCAAAATTTTTGACCTTACGCCGTTGGGTCAAACCGCCAAGCCTCTGGAATATTCCTCCGGATGGCGCTAAATCTTTTGTGGTAAACAACCGGGGTCATTCGTGCCCTTTTCCACCGTGCTGGGAGGTGTGTTGCTGTCGCTCGTGTTTATTATTTTTTTTTTTGAATTTTTTTGTATTTTCAGCTATAATCTGTTGATTAATCTTATGCCGTGTCCAAAGTAATTTCCGCGAAATGCAAAAATACCCGTTAGAGAAAGGAAAAGATCACTGAATTTTGGAGAGTCAGAGATCATTTTGCATTTCGCGGAAATTACTTTGAACACGGCATTACTTTCACTAATTCCCTTTTGACAGAATTTAAGTTTTGACTTGAAAATTCAATAATTCATTCACTTTTTCAAAAAAATTCTTCTTTTTTGTAATTTTGATACTGGTTATTGATTGAAAACTGATAAATTTCATTCAATATCTTCTCCATCATTTCAACATAATTGTACATATAAATAATAAGTTTACGAAGTTGACTTTTCTCGCGTTTATATATATATATATATATATTTTTACACTTTTTTTAAAATGTATTTCGCTTTAGACGACATTTGGCGTTATGCGTTGGCTCGAGACGATGATGAAGACAGCTACAATTCTGCAGGATTACAAAATATAAGTTTTCAGATAAACTAGCATTTATCGATTTCGATGACTACGCTTGAATTATTTTTCTTCCAGAGATTTGATACCACGAAGGAAAAGGCCAAGAAGAGCGACGAGCCCGACAAGGACAGGATTCGAAGGTCAAGTTTGAGGTTCGTTTATTCCGACTCCGGGTCGTTTATAACTGAGCGACTGGGCGTCTTCACTTCCAGTCAAAGCTCTCGAAATCAAACAATTTTAGGCACGAAATCTTCAAGTTTTGTGCCAGGAAGTTTGGATCCAACTTCTCATCATTTCCAAACAAATAATCTCAACTTTCTGGCGCAAAAATCGATTTTTTCAATTTTCATTTTTTATAACTAATTTTTAGAATCACTAGGAAGCGGATTTCGAATTGGGATTTATTCATAATATTGTTCGTTTCAGAATCTCATCTTGTTCAAAAAACATTGCTGTGGTGTTCGAAGGCGCAGAAGTATTTCGCGAAAAAAAATAACACGAAAAAATTTCATCCAAATATTCGCCTTTGAACACCCCAGCAAATGATTAGACACGCTTTTGAAAAACTTTTTCGATTTTATTCAGTTTTTCTGAAGTTTCTAGTCGAGTATTTCTCTCAATTTTTTCAATTCATTTCATTTTTAGAACTGTTTTTGAAAAAAAGAAAAAATCCAAATCAAACTGTTTTTGAAAAAAGAAAAAATCCAAATCGAACGCTGTCTCCATGTGATTTCTGTTTTCCATTTTTCACCTTTAAATAAATTGTTTGGCTTTGAGAATTTGGCTGGAAAAAAATGACTCAGGGTCGATTTTTTTGTTTTTTTGCGCGGCGCTTGAGGCGGTGGTCGACCGCGGCTACAAGTATTCCGTCAATCGATCACATTTTTATAAAAATTAAGTTCTTTTTTTTTCCAAGAGTGACTAGGTTATAAGCTTATCTTTCAGTTAACTCTCAAATTTTTCAGGAAGGATTGAAGGCGCAGGGAGGCAACTTGCTTGAGTATTCAAAGACAGAATTGAATTCAACGCTTTTGTGCCAAATATTTCCGACTCCTCCCTGCGTCTTCAAATATTTTGGAAAGCTGAGGCCGATGTCATAAAATATTACTGTATGTAAATTGAACTATGAATAAAGTCTAGTTTTTTATAGGGTATCATTTTTCATTTTTAAACAAATTCGTCTTTTTTTTCAATATATTTACCAACTATATACTTCTAGGCGTACGGCCTTCGAGTTTTAGATTTATAGTTCATCCACGACTGGCTTGAGGAACGAAAATTAATAAAGTAGGGGGTCTGGAACTACTAATTTCAAGCTCATTTATTTTCTTTTCAAGACCCTTTTGGAAAGTTTGTTGATCATTTGGGCATAGACTCAAGCCAGCCGAGAATCATAGTAGCTATAAGCTAGGATATCAAAAGCGTTAGAGTTCGCATTATACTAAGGTTAGTAGCAAGTCTCGCATTTGTCCTCTTAATAAATAGTTTTTGATTTTAAAAAGAATAGGTTTTATCGTAGTTTTTTATTCATTTCTTTTTCTTTGACAAAATTTCGGCTTCCTTTTTTGAGTTCACTCTTGTTAAGTTGATAGAATAGTTCAGACTGTACGTGTAGAACACTACTTGCTTCATTTTTTCATTGAATCTATTCAACAACAACATGTGATCGATTGGCGGAACATTTGCGGCCGTGTGGCTGGGGGCCTTCGAAAAAAGGATCATTTTTGCAGAGCTAAAAGCAAAGTCAAAGAGAAGTCTTTGACAAATGACCGTTTCAGCCAAGAGGCCACTCCAGGAGTTGAACTTGTCAATTTACATGTTGGTTGAGCGGATAGCTAAGGGACACCGGGAAAGCCATGACAAAAGGACGATTGCTTTTTCACTTTGAACTTTTGTTGGCCTGTTTGGACTGCAAGTATCTGATGATTTTCTTATATGTTTCATTCCTCGTTTTTGCAGTAGAACTTTCATGATTGACCTCGCAATTTGATAATATTTACAACTTTCTCGATTCGCATAAAACTTTCAGTTTTAAAATATTGAGGTCCACTTTGAACATTTTTAACTTCACAAAATTTCAAAAATACTTGATTTTGATAAGTTGCGAGTTGACCGTTGAAAGTTAAAAAGACTTTTCAAATTGTTTGGACTTTGATGAAAAGATTGAACTTACGCTCTAATTCATCTCAAATTCTGAAAGCTTTCAATTTGCGGATTTCAATTTAAAAAAAAAAGAATGACACTTCAACTTTAAAAAATTTCTTTTTTTGGGACTTGCTTTATGAGAAAAGAATAATTGGAAAAAAGAAAGCGTGATTCAATCTTTTTATTGCCGGGAAACACGAACACTTTTCATTGAACGCTTCGAGAAAAATGAATTTGAAACATTTATTTAGGGGGCGCAAAGCCCCGCCCCTTCACGCCACCAAAATGACGATTTTTTTGTTGCAAAAACGGTTTTGAGGCGTTTATATTAGCTAAAGTCCCACTTTGAAAATTAACTGTTTCTCTTAATCTATGTAATCGACAACGCTCTACAAGACTGAATATTTTTTTAAAAACTATGTATTTTTCAAAAATAAGCGAAAAAGTAAGATTTAACACGAAAAAAACTGACAAGTTTCACAAAATCGTCGCGTTTCAGAAAACCAAATGAGGAACGCTTTTAAATTTTGAGTATGTTATATATTAACACTTTCTTTATTTTTTTCGAGGGAAAAATTTTTAAAAAAATCTAACGACGCGAAAAAAAAATCGAAGCTTGTAAAGTGACACCAAACTTTGAAGCTGAAATGCGAAAAAATTTCAGCGACATGGTATACTTTTTATTTGATTTAAAAACTCACAATGTGTTCAAAAATAAAAATTCAGAATGAAAATAATTATTGGGACAGCGAATTAAATTATATTTGAATTTTACCAAAACCACCTTTTTTCGCCTGCCTCGTTGTCGCATGAGAGAATAGGATCGCGTTTATACTTTTTGATCAGGTTATTAAGCGTTCAAAAACTCTATCAATAAAAAAATTATGAAAAAAATCTAACGACGCGAAAAAAATAACGGCTTTGAAAAACCTCGAAAAAAATGACAACTTTTTTTGAAATTTTGGAAGAATTCGTGCAAGCATTCGTAGCTGTGTTCGCGTCAAACACACCGATGCGCCATTTTAAATGTTGCAGGAGCCGTTTTTTTGGAGTCAAATTGCACATTTTCCTGTTTTATTTCGAAATAACATTATTTTTTTCATTTTTTTCTTTTTTTCCAAACCAAATGATAATAATTTTTTTCTGATTAGAAAAAAAGAAAAAAATAAGCTGAAAAATTCCTTCTGACCTTTTTTTTCTAAGTAGTTTTTTTGATATTTTATCAAAAAAATTCTTATGAAGATTGTACAAAAAGATTCATACCAAAACATGAAGCTCAGTTCGGACAACCTCTCAGAACAGAAAAACTGATTAGAAAAACGGTTCAGAAATGCGCAAAAAAACATTTAAAAAGAAAGCGTGCGGCAGCGGGTAAACCGTGAGATTTTGCCTCCAGTTGTACGCCGCGCGCGCTAGTTTTCTGGCCATAACTTTTTTCTTAGTGGACCTTTTTTCAAAAACTAAACGGATTATGAAAATGGACAGTCTCCTCTATCGAACAGTGTGAAAAACATATTTTTTGAATCGTTCTGAAGAAATGGCTTGCGGACCCTACATTTATTCATCAGACACTTGCATATAAATTAATCCAACATGACTTCATTGATCAGAAGGACTTGAACTTTTGACATGGCTTCTTCAGAGGACCTCTGCCCTTCCACTTGGCCTTCAAGTTACTTGGCGAGCTCAGCTCATGGAATGGCCTCTTGGCTGACTTTGTCATTTTGTCAGAAGACTTTTCTTTGGCTTTGTGTGAAGCTTTGCAAGTGATTCTTTTTTTTTGAAAGCCTCCAGCCTGAGTCGACCATCGCCTCAAGAGTCGGCAAAGAACAAAGATCGACTCTGGGTCATCTGGAGAAGACGCCCAGAAGAGCGAGGTTATGGACGGTTCGGAGACTAATGGGGAGGGGGTTTCAGGTCGAGTGATGTGACGGGATGGACGCCTGACGACGTCGTACTCCGAAAGTCAGCATTGACCCGGACACTCTGAATCATGATTTGAAATAAAGAATTTTCCTTCCCCTTTTGTACTTGGTTTTGTCCGACAGGGTCGGGGTCGCTGTCGGACGTTTTCTCTCGGTGCTGCCGTTGTCGATCGGACTCTCCGCCCCCGGCCTCCACAGTTTCCTATGGATTCTGAGGCAAGGTCCCCAACTCAGGCCTTATGGGCCCGAGCCAGAGACCTCGGCCTCAGACTCCACAGGCTGGCTGTGGAGCCCGAGTCGGAGGCCTTGACCTCAGGCTCCAGAGTGCAGTGGAGCCCGAGGCCAAGTCTTTGGTAGGTGGCTCTCGGCTCGGAGAAGATCCTGTCAAGCAAGGCTTCCTTCTTCTCTCCAAGCTCGTCTGATGACAATGCCGTGCAAAGTAATCCAAGTTTCTCTTGTCTCAACACAAAGTCCAAGCTTCATCCTGAGCCTCTTATGCCCAAGCTCTTCCAACTTGAAGGCCAGGCCATTTGAAAAGACATGCCAGGCTTGAGCTATGTTGAAAAATGCTCTTGAAGTTCAGTTTTTTTTTTCGGTGAATTGTTAGACTCATGAGCTTCAAGCTTAAACGGAAAACTTCCTGCCGCTCAACGTCTCCTACAGTTCACTAGAGTCAATCACTTGAAAAACCAAAGCTTCAACCAAATGTGAGGGGGAGGAAAAATCGAAGTCTTTTTTATTCAAAGTTTTATAAAATTTTTTTTTAAAAAGTGATTGACAGTGACGAACTGAAGAAGTTGTAAAACTACAAAAAGAGTTCAAGAAAAGTGAAGTTGAAGTCCAAGAGAATCATAGCTGCGTTTCGAAATTTTCAAAAAATTCTAATTCTTTTCAAAGGCATATACAAGGCTTCTAAATTTTCTCCTTTTTTTACAGAGTTGATGCGTTTCAACATGTTGAGCAGTCGAACAAAGTCAATTTCTTTTGAATCAATTTAAAAATATCAAAAAGGCCAGAAAAAAATTTGAAAGTTGAATTTGGTGTCAACAAAGGGAAGAGTTTCAAAAAAATTTTTTTTTCATATAGTGTTTGACTTGAACCGGTAATATTGAAACGCATCAAGTTGCAGTGATAGAACTAAAAGCTTTTCAAACCTTACGATTTTTTTCAGATCTTTCAATGTGCTACTTCTTTAAACTCTTCTCCAATCAATCAAAGCATTTTTGTAAAAAAAAAAGCATTGAAAAAAATGAGCATTTTTTTGAAAGTTCAGAAGTACTGACAGATTCAAAATAAAACTGAATTATTTTTTTGAAGAACTACGTATTCAAAAAAAGTTAGAATATATTCTTTTTAATATTTTTTTAAATGTCAATAGTGACTGACCCTAAAAACCCTGATCGACTGGAGAAAGGTTTGAAAATGAAAAAAATTCTAAACATTTTTCCAAAAAAATATGAATTCTTGTAAATGAACTTTAAAAAAAGTTGAAAATTTCAAGTTCAAGAGCATTTTTCCCAACAAAGACCATGTTCAGATGTTCATTTCAAATGATCTGACGTCACGTTGAAAGAGTTTTAGTTCAAATGGCTCAGGATGAAGCTCAGAAGCTGCGGAGATCCAAGAGAGGCAAGAATGACCTTGCAAGGCACTGTCAGCTGGCGCCCCATATCATGAAAAGAAACTGAGTTCGCCGGTTGGTCCGATTGAAACTGTTTGAATTCGAAAATCAGTGAAAAATACGAAAAAAAGTTTCATTTGAAAAATTTAAGGAAGTTGATTTTGAAAAAAAAGTTTACTTAAGAAATCGGTCTGAAAAAAACCCGACGAAAGCTCGAATTGTAGTTGGATGTAAAAAATAAAACGGTTTAAAAAAACCAAAAACTTCAAAATGTTTCAAGGAGCCTCCGACTTTAATGTTCATGAGCTAATTAACTATGTTCGCAACTGTTGAAAAAAATCTTGAAGCTAGTTAAATTTCAAAAAAATAACCCCTGATCAGCACATGCCCATCAAACTACAGCATGCCGTGAATAAATAACACTCAAAGTTTATTTTTAAAAAATTTAATGTTTTTGAACTGGAATTTCCCGAAACATGAAATTGAAAAATCAAGAAATGTTCGAAAAATTCAAAATATTCGATGGAGCTGCCAAGTTACATGTAAATGAGCTGAGAGTGGTCATTTACTACATGTAAGACCTAGAGAAATTTATTTTCGTTTGAAAAAAAAGTGAAGACTTCTGGTGAGAATCTGTGAGTTTTGAACCGAATATACGAAAAAGATTATGATTGAATCATAAAATGAAAAAAATTGAAGCAAATTAAACTGATGTGCAAAAAAGATAACCAACTAAAGATTCGAGCCCTCGTAGAATAATTCCCAGACCCATTTCGTAACCATTAGACCAACCAACAATTTCAATATCTCTGCATGAGATGGCAATCAGGTTGTGTACGAATGACTTCCGCTTTTATTTGAAAAATTTATAGAGTAAAAAAAGATTCCCTTTTTCTATTCCTACGAACGATGTGGAGAATATTGGAAACTCTAACGTCAATTTTTTTTTTCCTGAATTACAATAAGAGCCCTTATTAAAAGCTTTGTACCAAATCATAATTTTCCGATTCATTCGGATCCATGACTATGCAATTGTATGAAGAAACGGATTCTGAAAAATTCTAGACGTTAGAAAAGCTGAAAAAAGTTGGAATTTTTTCGAAAACAGCGGCAGTTTTAAGGAAAAGAAAGCCTTGATTTTTGAATAACAACTTTCTTATGAATTAGTCTACTTTTTTTGAAAAATGAAAACAAGTCAGCCTAACTCCCGAAAATTTGAAAAAAAAAAATTGGAAGCGATGAAGTTGAAGCTATCCATTCGCTAATACAATCAAATAACCACAAAAACTAATGAATCGGAAAAAAAGACCACTGTTGACCAGCTTTGAAGTCAAGCTCCAAGATTTCCTGTAACAATAGATCGAAAAGTGAATTCAAGGGAATGCTTATACGGAAAAAAAAATGGTAACCAGCCTACATTAGAAAAACTTTCGAATCAAAACTTTGTTAACGTCTTTTTTGGATCGAAAAAAACACACCCAGGGATCTTATTTTGACAAGAAAAATAAACTTTAAAAAAATCTAAATTCGTGAACTTGTTGAACACAAGAACAATATTTTTGGGATTGAAGCTTTTTTTGAAACATGACAAAAAATCACAAAAAAAACTTACTTTGTTCAATTGGAATCGACTATCTAGTTCCACATTAACTGTACAAGAAATCCCATGAATTCCTAGCCTTTCAAAAAAGAAAAACAAAACTCTTTTTTGTCTTGAAGTGAAGGAAAAAATCCAATGCTACTCGCAGTTCTTTCAATATGATTGTTAAAAAAATCCGAAAACGTGCAGCTTTGATTCTTCGCAAACAACATATTAAAATTTCTAATACTTTCAACTGCTCCAAACTCTCTAAATTCATATCTCGATCGCTCAAAAACTGACTCTGGCATCCCCAACTTATATTATAATGATAACTTTGTCACGGAAGATGTATCTAAAAGCCGATCTCTTCTCATCTGTTTTCTCCTCTAACTTTTCACATGTGATTCACCCAACATTTCCTGTTTTACCCTCACCTCGTCCTACCGATTGTTCTATCAACTTCACACCTGAAACGATTTTTAAAACTCTTTCTAATCTTCCACCTAAATGCGGTTATTCTTCTGATAATATCAACTATTTTGTCCTAAAAAAGTGCTCTGTTTCTATTTCTCTTCCACTTTCTATTATTTTCCAGGAATCTTATCTAACCGGTATCACTCCTTCATTATTTAAGTCTACTATAGTTATTCCTGTGCATAAAAAAGGTAGTCTTTCTGATCCAAATAACTTTCGCCCCATATCTCTCACTCATCCAATTTCTCGTGTATTTGAACGCATCATTACTCAAATGATAAGATCTCGTTTTTCTGAAAAGTTCTCTCAATTCCAATTCGGCTTTCTCAATCGTAGGTCATGCAAACTTTCTCTAATCAGCTCCCTTTCCTCCATTCATAAATCCTTGGCATCTAATCTTCCTATCGATGCTGTTTATTTCGATTTTTCCAAAGCCTTCGATAAAGTAGATCATAACCTTTTACGCCTAAAGATGTCCAATTTCGGCTTTAATGATACTCTCTGTCGCTGGTTCTCCAATTTTTTTATCTAACCGTTCCTCCATTGTAAAAAGTTAACAACTCGTTTTCTAACAATTCTTTTTCTAATCCTTCGGGTGTACTTCAAAGGGACGGTCAGCGGCCCCCTTCTCTTTCTCGTTTTCATCAATGATATTGAAAATTTTATTGTTCCTCAATCCTCGATCTCTATCTTTGCTGATGACCTCAAGGTTTATAGCTCTTGCCCTGATTCGCTTCAAAAGAAGCATAAATGGTATTTTCCAATGGTCAGAACTTTGGTCTCTTCCACTTGCTGTTGAAAAAGACTTTTTTTCTCTTCACTTTGGCTCTAACAATCCTCAAACGGTCTATTTTTCTTGATCAATTTCAAATCCCACAAAGATCAATTTTTTTTCGTGATCTAGGCCTTCAAATTGATGAGAAGCTCTCCTTCAAAGACCATATTTCCCGTATCTCTGCCTTTGCTACATTACGGTCTAATCAAATACTAAATACCTTTAAGTTTTCTTCCCCCCTGCACTACCTCAGAATGTTTCAAACCTACGTGACGCCTATTCTCGAATACTGTAGTGAAATCTTTTCTCCCTCTATCTCGTCTGAGGAATGCTTCAAACTCGAGTCTTCTCTACGCCAATTCAGTAGAAAAGTTTTTATAAGATGCAATGTTCGCTTCAGTTCTTATTCTGATCGTCTCAGCCAATTTGGCTTTAAACCTCTCATTGTACGTCGTTGTATTAACGACGTTATTTCTCTTCATAAAATAATTTGCGGCTCTGACCATTTTCTCAATCGCAATGACTTCTTCACTATTTCTCCTTTACAGAGGAATCCACTTCGACTTCGCACTTCCGGTCAGTTCTCTAAAGATTTTTCCAAAAACTATTCCATTATGGAATAAACTTACCTCTAGAATAAATTTTAACGTCTCTACGGATGCGCTACGGGTTAAACTTAATGATCTCCCTAACTCTGCCTTTTTTTCGAGATCCATTCCTTCCCGTTTGCTCTGACTTCCTTTCTATCCCCGGGTCATAGTCTACTCGTTAGGGTGGACTAATTCCCGTTTTGGTTATTCTGCTGCTTTCGTATTCTGAACTATTTTATTTATTATTTTCTAACAATATGCAGTGAATAAACCTATTATTATTAACTCTTTAAAAAAATCTAAGAACTCAGCCTATAGCTTTTTGAATATCCACTAAGAAGGTGCAAAAGTCATTAAAAAATAAACAAATAATCGAAAATCGAACTCTTTTTGACTATCCTGCTAATGATCTAACACAAATACCGCTCCAATCCCAAAATCGCTAAATCATAACTCGCCACTAAAGCAGCACCTATCTAAAATACTCGTCAACTCTCGAAAAATAAGAAAAACAAGAAGAACAAAAAAAAAAGTTTATTCGTACACAACCCAAGGATCGACGCCACCTTCAGATTGACGAGCCTGGAGTGGAAAAGAACGCCTCGCCCTACAGTATCTTCCCCTACAGAGAGAAAGACGCATGTATGCTCGGCTGAGAACCGGCGAGAGTGCATCGACTACGAGGAGACGCCAGACTACAGCCCTCCCTTTTTTGGGCGCTCCCTCGGGCCGGAAGAAAGCCAAGGAACACAGACGTCTTTTTCTCTGCGCCGCCACCGACCAAAGGCCCGATCCGGCAACATTCACACCGAGAGGACAGGACAGGACAGGACAAACACGGAACAAAAAACAAAACGGAAAATTTTATTTTTCCTCTCGAAAATTAATTTTTATTTCTTACCAAGGTGTCATCGCATGGAACCGGTTTTTTTTAGAAAACAATGAAACTTTATGAATGAAACAAAAAAATTACCCTAAACTATCAAACTACTAAAGTACATATAATAAAAAGAAATCGGGTATACATTATTGCGCAAAAAAAAAAATTAAAACAAAAAGTTTCATTTCACTAATTTAAAAAAAATCGGAAACTAACGACTTAAAAAATGAAATCTAAAAATCTACAAGGGTTGCGACGCGACCGCATGTGGTTCAGTTTTTATCGCTGAACTTCTTTCTCTTCAACTATGTGAATTTTTTAAAGTCACGAACAACTTTTCAGAACTACTAGTTGACATAAAAATTTGAAAAAAAAATGACACTTAACTTAAATTTTCGAAAAGTGGATTGTAATTGATCACTCGAACATCCTTGAATAAAAATGTATGAGTTCAAACTCGCAAGGATACTTATACTGAAAAAAATCTATTGAAAAATTTTCGACTTAGGCCTAGAACCAAAAAAATTACTGTAGAATAGCTGGTCGTGAGCTTCTAATATTTATAAGGCCTGAAATATGTAAAAATGAAAAGATATTAAAAATCGATGAAGGAGCCGCGATGTGCCCGCGTCGCAAAGTCTTGAATTAGGGTCTTAGAAATTTTGAATCTTTTTCGGCGAAGCACTTGAAAAGTATAGGACCAAGCTCCATGCGATGATACCCAGAGCAATCATCTAAAATTTGAAAAATAAGCGGAAAAATATTTTATTTTGTTGGAAGTTTCCGAGAAGAAAAATAATATTTTTGAATAATTCATTAAATTTCACGCTGAAAAACGCATTTTGCTTTCGATTGGATTGATGACGAGATGGAAACGAAAAAAAAATTGAGATTTTCTTTAGGAAATAAGAACTGCTTTCATGTGTTCCTCAGCGTGAAATAACAATGACATTTATAAAGTTACCTAAAATAGTCGACCTGGCTGCCGCTCGAACCGCCCATCTGCTCGAGAACGAGGAAGACGCCACGCGACGTTGCAGATGTTGATCCGTTCAAAAAAATAAATAATTATATTTTTAAACTGAATGACAAAAATCTTATCTTTAAAAAAATCGCTTCCGTCCGACTGCCCCAACGCTGCTCATGATGCGAGTCGCCGACCAACCACCAAATCGTCAGAGCCGCTTGAAAAAAATATATTAAAAAGAAAAAAATACAGAAAACGAGACGAAAAACGAAGCGAACAGAACCAGCAAAATTGAAACGAAATTCCCTAATTTTTGATTCGAACATATCTGGGAAGAATCAACGAAAAAAAGTCCAAAAATTTTCGAATTGAACAAAAAAAACCATTCAAAATGATTAATTTGAAAAGCTTGTGAAGAATTCCGGTTAAAAACATAAAAGCCTGATAAAAATATGAAATTAACACGAGCGACAGCAAAACACCGTCCAGAACGGAGGAAAAAGGCAAGAATGACGCCGGTTGTTTACCACAATAGGTTTGGCGCCAATCGCAAAGAGATTCCAGAGATTTGGCGGTTTGACCCGATGTCATGAGGTCAAAACTTTTGAACCTACACAGACTCGCCATCTCTGATAGTTTTTCGTCGGGGTTTTTCGTTTAGGAAATGATTTAAGGGTATTTATGAATTTAAAAAAAGTTTATTTTAAAAACTATGAAAAACTAATGATATAATTAAAAAGAGAAATGGGATACAAAAAAATTAAAAAAAGAAAAACTTCAAATATCATTTAAAGGAGCATTGAAAATAGAGAATATGGTTTTCGAAACGAAGAGCGAGGATAACTGCAGTTTTTTTAATATTTTTGTTTCTTTTTCTTTTTTTTTTATAAAACATTCAAACTAAAAATTTTGCACGTTTTCAATAACTTAAACTCTGAAAAAACGTTTTTTTATGCGATTACTGACGCATTTATGAAAGAAACGTAAACTTTTTCTTGCTCGGAAAGTTTTTAAAAATATATATATCTGTGTAAATAATTTTCTCTTGCAGCATTTTTATTGGTCACTCGTTTTTGTCTGCCATCTTCATAGAAAAATCGTTTTGTAACTAAGAACTGCAGTTAACTAAGAACACATTGGATCTTTCACAGAATTTTTTCAGACAATATTGGGACCGTAAATCCAGAATTTTAACCGTCTGGTGTCGATTTACTGGGATATCAACGTTTTTATTGTGAACACAGTTCAAAGTTATCTGCGTATCATAAAAAAAAGATGAAAAACAATCCTTGGCCCAATTTGGCTGGAGAAAAATGACTTTCGGTTGGTTTTTTTCATCAATCCCTTTTTAAAGTTCGATGACAAATTGAATAACAATTAAATTTGGGGAGATGCAACGACTTTGTTAATTTTATTCATCTTAAAAGAATAACTTCAAGGTTATTCCAATTTACTCAAGTGGGGGTTAACACGACCGCGGGTCCTCTTCCCTCCATCACCACAAGTTCCGACACATATGTTCCCAAATTCTCCCTACATCTATTTCGTGAAATTTAGTACTTGTGTGTGAGAAATAAAACATTTTGATTTGATTTTACAGACATTTTTTGGAATGAAAAGTTCCATTTTTTGATTGCACAGCTGTATAAGAGTTCATGTTGAAATTGTTGCAAAGCATTGGAAATTTCGAAGTTTTTTTGATTTGAGAAAATTGTTTTTTTGAGAGATTGGAAACCAAGCCATCGTTTTTTTCAACAACTTCAGTGAACTTAGTTTGAAAAAGATTTTTTTTAGAAGATTTCTACTCTTCCAGCAATTTTTAATAATGACCATCTTGGTTGATTTTGAAAGATAGTAGTTTATTAAAAAAATTATTGAAACGAACTTTTTCCTGAAAACTACATGACTCCCGTCAAGTATAAAAATTCTCTTTGCAAACTTGAAAAAGAAAGTGAAAGTTGTAATTCAATTTGAACAGGCAATAATAAATTCTTTAGACGGGGAGGACTATTTATACAGCTTGTACGAGAAGAAACACCCTCGTCGAAATGCCGACAAATGATCGAAATACTTCCCCCTGAAAGGAACATTCTCAATCATAATTGCGGTTTTTGCACTCTCCATTCATCTCGGCTTATCTTTTATTCGACCTGACCTCAATTAATTCGGAAAAAGGTACGTTTCCTGAAAACGGAAACAGTCTCAAACTCGATATAAGATTTTATTGCTTAAGGCCTCAGTTTTCAAGCTTTTCTTACTGCATCTATCGCTTTTCTAGTTCCACATCGGAAGTAGCACATTCCGATGAAAAAACCTTCATAATCCTCCAGAATCCTCGTCGCTTTCAGATTCTTCGTCCTCTCCGGCTTCCTTATGTGCATGTTGCTCCAGAAGTCGCAGACGATGTCGCGACGCCAACTTGTCCTCAACTTTTACTGTCGACGTCTCAAGAGAATCCTGCCGCTCTACCTTCTCTGTCTCCTCGGCATCCTCCTCGCCTTGTACGTCTTCTTCCCGGATTCTTCCGTCGACACGAATCTTCGAGCCGCGCCCAATTGCCGAAAGTTGCTCAGATTACAGAGATTTTCCTCATGTTTTTCGCGGCTTTTGCACCGACAAAGTTCAGCGAGTTATACGTCAGGTAAAATTGACTTAATTACTTGTATTCGTCAAATGGTTGCTACAGTATGCGCAGCGCTTCGAAATTTTTGTTTAAGCGAAGAAAAAGTTCCTTTAAAGCTTTGAAAAATGCTGCTTTTTGGTCCGTTTCTGGTATTTTTGTGCTTTTTAAGTCAGAAGTCATTTTTTATAACCTTCTGAAGTTGATATTTCCAGATTCAACACGACCCTCCTAACGGGTCTTTTGATTTGCGCGGCCGCGGAACACCCGATTTTGTGCAGCCGACCTTTAATCTACTTGGGGGACATTTCCTATGCTCTCTATCTGATTCATTGGCCAATTTGTGCTTATTGTAAATTGGTCCATCCGGATAGTACTTTCGGTAGGAATTAATCTGATTTCAACGTATATTTGGCTTTTTTTTAGCCGTTTTTATCGGCTTTTTGGCTTCTATACTGACCGCCGTCGTTGTTCGAGAGACTTTTGAAAAGTGAAAAGTTCAAGAACCTTTTTAACTTGGTAATTTGTTCCCAGATGGTACCTGAGCCTAAAATCCGGAGGTGTAACAGCCTTAGTGATTATATTCTATACAGCCAATATTCTACTGTATTTCTACTTAAAATCTTCGAGAATACCAGGTTTTATCGATAAAAACTTGATAGGGAGTAGTATACAAATGGTTGACGCTGGACGGTCGTTTTGCCCAAATGACGTCTTTTGCACTTTTTGACTATTTTAATGCTCATTTTCATCAAAAAAGTGTATAAGCGCATCGAAAATCAGTCATTTTTAAAAAACGACACTTTTAGCCTGGACGTAGAAGTGACCATTTTGCCCACTTTTGAATTTTGACACTTTTAAATGATTTTATCGCTATTAAATGATGAAAATAAGATTCAATAAAAATTTAAAGGCATTAACAAACTTTGATCTTTTAGAATTGGTAGACCTTCTAGGACTCACGAACTTTAGAGGAATCTTCATGCGAGATACTTTACCAAAATGAAGGAATTAAAGAAACAGAAGTAGGTATTGTAAATTTAGATTCTTCTGAAGGTAAAGGTACACATTGGGTTTGTTATTCCAAAAACAAAAGATAAAATGGTCCACCATTAGAACTTCAAGAATATTTAAAAAATTGCTTGCTCAAAAAAGATGTGTTAGCTGATGTGTGAATTTAGACTGATCTTAAAAACAAATTTTATTTTGTCCAATTCATATACATTTAAAAAATTGGGGCGCGCCGTAGCGCAACAGGTTGTGTGCCTGTCTACGGTCCACAGGGTCACAAGTTCCATCCCCGCCCCGACCCAACCAAAGGGGTTTAAGAAATGTTGGTAGTGAGAAACCACGACTTCAAAATCCCCAGCCGTCACACACAAGGACGGATGTCACTGGAGCCAGTCCACTGATTATCATCAGGATAGGACCTCGGCTAATCGACTTGGGGCGCCGACGCCGCTCAAGCGGTACAAAGGCGTAAGAAGAAGAAGATATACATTTAAAAAATTAAGTCCACTGATAAAGACTACTTAATCTGAACGTCCATAGAAAGTTCCAAGTCCTTCAAATTCGGTTGTAAAGCAAGGCTTCTTCTGGGGAAGCGACGCCACTTTTTCCTCTTTGCGTTCTTTTGCAAGTTCCTCCTAAACAAAACATTATCAGATAAATTAGTATTAAATATAGCATACCATATAAGCCTCTTTAAATCGAGATGCCGGACAGATGAGTTGCGGCCTCTGAAATGGCCAGATGATGATATTGCAACGGCATAGTTGTGCAACCAAAATTCGATCCAATAAGTCCTCTCGAACCCCAGATACCGCCACCTAAAAGTTTAGTTTTTAATTAATCAAAAAAAAAGATAATCATTCTTACCCGAATCGCCTCGAGAACTGGGACTAGTGCCGAGAATAAAGGGGCCCAATTGTTTGCCATCTCCTTCGAAATAGGTGTCGCGCACAGAGTGAATTGTTCCAGGTAGGTATGAAAGTCTTCCATGTTCATTACCGAATCCAGCCAGTGTAAACGGTTCTGACTCTTGAGCCCGCGCGATTGAAGGTCCTCGCTAAAAGTGCGTAAATTAACAACAAAATAAGAAATATTCTAAGAACTTACCTCTACAACATTGAATTCGCTTTTGAGCAAAATAAAATCTAGTTCTTCATTGACTTTGACCACACTAACGTGCATTCCAACTTGTTCGTCCACTTCTTTGTCCGCAGTATACATCTTCAAAGTCTCGCCAAGCTTGAGCTGAAGATGAGAGCCGTGGCGAAAAGAGACGAAATATCGCGGGTGAACGCAGATTGCAGTAGCTTGTCCCAAGTGATCATGTAAATAGAACATCCATTTGGAGAAAGCCTCAGGCGTAGGAGCTGGATCTGGTGGTACTAAAAGAGATCATAAATTTAAAATATTAATTTGAGTTAAATCTTACATGAAGGGTAATATGGACTCATCGGTCGTTCAGCAAAGGCTTGATCTGCTGGCCTTGCTACACGCGATCGTCGCTCTTCCTCCCATCGCAATTCGTACTCGGCTCCGTTCCATCCATCTTGTAGCTCAAAAAAATCGTCTTCTCTGCACCTAAGAAACTTAATAAAAAATTTGTTCAGAATTTCATTTAAAATTGCTAACGAAAATCGAAATGTCTTAAATAAGAGCCATTAAAAACCTACTTTAAACCTCTGTTGTTCCTGAACAATCCGATCGGCACGTCCTCTTCAAGTTGGAAAGCTGCCCTCAAAGTCTTTTTTCTGATAATGCCATCAATTTCTGCCGTAACTTCAACGACGCGCTGATTTCCTCGAACAATGACAAACTAAAATAAGATTATTGACTAGTAAGATAAAATATCAACAAACATACCGATTCCATATTGATCTTTAGAAACCGGGCTGATAGAATTAACTTCGGATATCTAAAAAATCTATAATTGATCATTTTTCAAACACTAAAAAGAAGATAAAAAAGTCGAAGGCGTCGCCGATCACATTCGATCACATTGCTAGTTCAAAGCCTCGGAATTTGGGATTTTCCTGCTTTCTCTACACAGATTTGCTCTAACTTGGGATTCTCAATTAATTTTTTACACGAACTCTTTAAGATAGGAGAAGATATAAAGTAAAAAAAAGCGCCCATTTTCGGAAAAAAATTAGCACAGTTAGAGTGCACCGCAACTTAGTAGAATTATTACTTCTAATTGGCGTAATACTGTACGTGCTTTAGAAAATTAAGTAAAAGGACGTAAATTTTATGACAACAAAAAGCAAAACTTAACAACAAGGGGAACCCGACAATTCGGAAACAAACAAAGGGAAATATTTTTTCCCCAGTATTTCTGGCGTGTTTCATATGCAAATTTAGGGAGCGCAAAGCCTCGCCATATTTCTTATTTTCCTAGGTAATCAACATCTCTCTACAAAACTAGATAACTTTCAAATCCAGCAATTTTCGAAATTTAACCCAAGAAAAGAAGAAAACTGCCACAAAAAGTCGACACAGTTCACAAAACAAACCCGTTTCACAAAACTACATGCGTTTCACATCTGAATTTTGGATATGTTATTCATTATAACATCCTTCAAAATATATATTAAAACAAAAAAATAGGGCGGTGCCAAAAAAAGGACGAAGCTTGTAAAGTTACTCTCAAAAAAACACAAAAGTTTGCAGCAAAAAAATGTGAAAAAAATTTCAGCGACAACCTAGTGATTTTCTTTGTTTAAAAATTGAAAAAAAGTCTGAATAACGTAAAAACAAAATAACATACTCAAAAAGACCGAGCAAAAATGAGTTTAAATTTGCATTTACAAAAAACGCCCGCAAAAATGAATAACGTTTTTTAAAGCGTTTCACGAGAGCAATATCGTTTCACGTTTTCTTTTTTGATATGTTTTTGACTTTACAACTTTACAAGTTTAGAAAAAAAAATAAAAAAAATCTGGCGGTGCCGAAAAAAGAATGTGCCTTTTGAATGACCGAAAACGGTCAATTTTTTATTTTATTTTTGCGCGTCGAGGCGTGTCGTGGGTGCGAAATTGCGCCGTTCTTAAGGAAAACAAGTGTTTTACGGCCGAAAAATGGGAAATCCGACATTAAAAATTTAGAACTTTGTGTTTTTCTATGATAATTGATATTATTTCTTATTCTTTCGTTTATGTGACTGTTAGACTGCCTTCTCTTGGTGGTTTGAACAAAAAATATCATATACTATTTTTTCCTTTGGTGCCGAGGATCCTTTTTTCTTATTTTTCGAACTAATTATTTTTGTAAAAACCTCAAACTGAGCGAATAACAATCAGAGAGGCATTTTCATCAGTTTTCAACAGAAAGCCGATTCAAAAACGGTTGAATATGAATGGAAAACGAGCCAAAACAGTGCGGCGGCAGCCGAAAATTCGAAAAACGCCAGATTTTTCGGTTTCCTTGCGCGTCACTAAAAGCTTCATAACTAGGCTCAAAATCAAAATTTTTCGAAAAGCTGAACTGATTTGATTTTTGGACAGTATGTTCTATCCGATGGTATTGGATTCGACTATGCATTACTTTTTTCAAAAAATGGCTTGTGGTGCCTATGCAAATTTTCGAAATTCTACTTAAAATCAACTGAGATTTATCAAAACTAGCATCGGTGGTTCTAGCTTTTCACACAGAAATCCTTTTGCCTTCCCGGTTTCCTAAACTACCTAACTAAAACTTATCGAGAAAAACAGTGATGGATGTAAAATCATGCACAACGCAAACTACAGAAGAAAAGAAAATCTCTTTTCTATTCACAAAAGTTAGAATGTGGTGGAAGGAAGCGATGTTGGCAACGTCCGTGTTCCTCTGCGTCTCTGCCTTCCACTCTAGCCCAACGCGTTTGCGTACAGCTAATTCACGGCTGGCTTGAGCCATTGAAAAATGGGTCCTGAGACGATAATGCACGAGACAGTGCCTGGCTCGTGGAGAGCGCAGACAGGACACGCCCTCTTAGCGTCCCAAGCTGGCCGTGAATCAGCTATATCGCGTCGCGTGCGTCTGGTTCAACTGTGGCAAATGTGTGTTTGTGCTCGGTCACAGTGAGGTAGAGAAAGGAAGGTCACACAGAGAGAAAGAGAAATTGGCAGGGTGAAGGTGTCACACCCAAGGAAAGAAGAGAAGGAGAAAAAGAGAGAGAGTGGTCAATCTGTAAGATCTAGAACTCGACGAGTTTGGTCACGCCCTAACTTTCTCGAAGGTGCTGGCAAACAGGTATGAAAGCACGGTGTTCCCAAACGGGGTGAGGAGACGTCAAAAAAAAAATTTGGCGCGAGATTTGAAATCTACAGTACTTCAGCCGAAGGGGATCGAACAAACAAGTTATTAACGTTTGATACTCAGTGCATTTTATCCGTTGCAGCGACTTTGTTAGTTCTATTCATTTTTACAGACGTTTCGGGAATGAAAAGTTCTATTTTTCTTTGCACAGCTGTATAGGACTTCATGTTGAAATTTTGCAATTTTTGGAAATTATTGGAAAGTTCAAAATTCTTTGAACGCAGAAAATCGTTTTGGAGAGATTTGAAAGCAAGCCATCGTTTTTCAACAACCTCAGTGAACTTAGTCTGGAAAAAGATTTTTTTGGAAGATTTCTACATCTTCCAGCAGTTTTTAATAATCAAAAATTCTCTTTGCAAACTTGAAAAAGGAAGCGAAAGTTGTAATTCAATTTGAACAGGCAATAATAAATTCTTTAGACGGGGAGGACTATTTATACAGCTTGTACGAGAAGAAACACCCTCGTCGAAATGCCGACAAATGATCGAAATACTTCCCCCTGAAAGGAACATTCTCAATCATAACTGCGGTTTTTGCACTCGCCATTCATCTCGGCTTATCTTTTATTCGACCTGACCTCAATTAATTCGAAAAAAGGTTCGTTTCCTGAAAACGGAAACAGTCTCAAACTCGATATAAGACTTTATTGCTTAAGGCCTCAGTTTTCAAGCTTTTCTTACTGCATCTATCGCTTTTCTAGTTCCACATCGGAAGTAGCACATTCCGATGATCAAAACGGAAGAGCACAAGAAGAAGCGAGACGACCTGCAAGGCCTGCGCGGCTGTGCCATCGGCGCCGTCCTTCTCTTTCACTTCTTCCCCGACCATTTTCCCAATGGCTATGTCGGCGTCGACCAGTTCGCTCCCTTCAGAATCCTCCAGAATCCTCGTCGCTTTCAGATTCTTCGTCCTCTCCGGCTTCCTGATGTGCATGTTGCTCCAGAAGTCGCAGACGATGTCGCGACGCCAACTCGTCCTCAACTTCTACTGGCGACGTCTCAAGAGAATCCTGCCGCTCTACCTTCTCTGTCTCCTTGGCATCCTCCTCGCCTTGTACGTCTTCTTCCCGGATTCTTCCGTCGACACGAATCTTCGAGCCGCGCCTTGGGCTCTCTTCTTCGTCTCGAATAGGCCGAAATCCACGGAGGACGACTATTTTCAGATGGTTTGCTGGAGCTGATCAATTTGATGAAGCTGTATTTTCAGCTCCAAATGGCCATCGATCTATTCACTCACACCTGGTCTCTCTCCGTTGAGATTCAGTTCTACCTCATCGTTCCATTTCTCTTTATTTTGTCAAAACTACTGCCAGAAAGACATCAGCCACTGTTCTACACCATCATTGGTAATTCGAATGAGCTAATCTTCATAATTTCTCATAAAGGATCGGCCTCCTTTGGACTAAATATTTCCTCGAGTGAAAGTTTCGCATTTAACAATGTCTTTGCTAGAGTTTGGCAGTTCCTGATAGGTGAGACCTTTGAAAAATGAGAATGATTGATCAATTTCCAGGTATGAATGCCTATTTAGCGTGTAGTTTCGAGCCGAAATTGGGAAGGTATTCTCAAATCAGTCAGTGCGAAGAGAATGAAAAGCTAATCGTCGAAGATGAATCTGACGTAGCTGGTATTATATCTTCTAAAATTATAATTCTATGGGTTTTTAGAACAAGGCAAAGATGGGGAAGAGCCAAAAGATGGACAAGAATTGCCGAAAGTTGCTCAGATTACAGCGATTTTTCTCATGTTTTTCGCGGCGTTTGCACCGACAAAGTTCAGCGAGTTATACGTCAGGTGAAATTGACTTTATTACTTGTATTCGTCAAATGGTTGCTACAGTATCCCCAGCGCTTCGAAATTTTTGTTTTAGCGGAGAAAAAGTTCCTTTAAAGCCTAAGAAATGCTGCTTTTTAGTCCGTTTCTGGTATTTTTGTACTTTTTAAGTCGGAGTATAACCTTCTGAAGTTGATATTTCCAGATTCAACACAACCCTTCTAACGGGTCTTTTGATTTGCGCGGCCGCGGAACACCCAATTTTGTGCAGCCGACCTTTAATCTACTTGGGCGACATTTCCTATGCTCTCTATCTGATTCATTGGCCAATTTGTGCTTATTGTAAATTGGTCCATCCGGATAGTACTTTCGGTAGGAATTAATCTGATTTCAACCTTTATTTGGCTTTTTTCAGCCATTTTTATCGGATTTTTGGCTTCAATTTTGGCTGCTATTATTGTTCGAGAGACTTTTGAAAAGTGAGATGTCGTTAGATCTTTTATGACTTGGTAATTTGTTCCCAGATGGTACCTGAGGCTTAAAGGTACAGGTATAAGCGCCTTAGTGATAATATTCTATACAGCCAACATCCTACTGTATTTTTACTTGAAATCTTCGAGAATACCAGCTTTTATCGACAAAAATTTGATAGGGAACGAAACTTGGCTGAATTTCGACTCGACCAACATGACTTTTGGTGAATTTTCTTCTTATTCTACGAAATTTCTTTGATTTCAGACCAAATCACTGAAAGAAACTATATATTCTCGCATTTTGACTATCAGAATTTATACTTGAAGCAGTGCAACTATACAAACGAGGAGAAGGGTCCACTTGGCTTGTGTAACTTTCAAGTAGGACAAAAATTGATTAATGAATCAACATTCAAAAAATTCAGGGTCTGAACGAGAAAGCCAAGTACAAAATCGCCCTGTTTGGGAACAGTTGGGCGGCGAATCACGCGAGGATGTTCTACAAGGAATGCTATTCGAAAGCCAAGGAAATGGCCATGTTTAGTAGTTTCGGTAAGCCAAAAGTTGAATCGAAAATAATAAATTTGAGGTTGTGAACCACTTTATCCGACCCTGGAACTCGGAAGGTGCTGGCAAAATATGAAAGATTTCGACAATGTTTTGAAATCGGTTCAGCCTGATTACGCTTTTCTGTTTGTCAGGTTCTTTCTTCACTCAAAAATTGATTTTCTGACAGGGGTCAATAAAAAGAAAATAAACTTGAAAATTCCTTTAGTTTACAAAATTTAGAAGTGGAGCTTATTTCAGTGAATTCCATAACTTTTTTGGTTCATTTTTCGAATTGATAAATTTCCTTGATTTATCGAAATTGGCTAACTTTCAAGCGCACGGCGTTTACAAACAGGGTGGGAAGACGTCAAAAAAATTTTGGCGCGAAATTTGAAATCTCAAATACGCAGCCAAAGGCGATTGAACAAAAAAGTTATTAACGTTGAATACTCCGTGTAACGTAGAATGACGTCATTTTATCCGAAGCGCGCACTTGCTTTTTTTTTAAAACTGCTCACCTTCCATCACCCTATGAGGAATGTTGTGAGCGGTTTTTGAGAATTATGTATTCTTTGAAATGCAAAATCTAAGCTGGAAAACGGCTCAAGCCTTAATAGACGACTTTCTTTCACGCAAAATTTAAATTATGGCCATTTAACGACATTTTTCGCTGGGCTCTTTTTCGAAAACTAATTTTTCTAGCACCTTTCTAACCAAGTGAAGTGCAAATCTTCCTCCAAAAGTAGAATTATTCTCTCGAAATCGCTCCAATCAACGAAAAAATTTCATTCCAGACACATGGCAATGATGTCGAAACTCCTCGGACCGCTTCAGAACGACACGGTCTACTTGCAGGCCAGAAAGCGCTTGCTGAACTACCGGGACCGGGTCAAAATCAAGCTTTTCGTCTTGGGACCTCTACCCGAGCCGCCCAAATTGAGCGGAATCGTCTACGCCAGTTTTAAAGTTGGCAAGTGGCCAAATGAAGTTACTTTTGCTTCTGAATCACTTGAAACTCATCAACAATTTTTCCAGACCCAGTTTTTCTCGGCGAAATCTTTGCAAGGATACGAGGATGGTCTGAAACGGATGGACCAGCTTTTGGAGGATTGTGGGAACAAATGTGAACTGATTGATTACGCGCCCTTGTTCCGAAATGCCACAACCAGTGTATTTCAATACTTTGACCAGAATGGAATGCTCTATTGGACCGACAAACTTCATCTTTCCCCACATGGTCTTTCTCTCGTTAGAGGTCTTTATACTAATATTTGCAAGAACTTGTGATTTTTCTCCCTTTTCTAACGGTTTGGAATAAACACGGGTCTCACTTTTTTTTTTCAACTTGTTAAAAAAAAAAAGAATTCTGAATTCGGTTACCCACGGCGTTCCCAAATGGGGGGAGGGAAGGTGAGCGAGGCGTCAAAGTTTCTGAATTTACAGAAAAAATTTAGTGCGCGCTACGGATAAAATGCACTGAGTATCAAACGTTAATAACTTGTTTGTTCGATCGCCTTCGGCTGGTTACTGTAGATTTCATCTTTCGCGCCAAATTTTTTTTTGACGTCTCCCCACCCCGTTTGGGAACACCGTGTACCACGGCGCTCCGCCACTATTTTTTCCGTAAAGTGTAGTGTGTAGTGTGCATGCACTGCGGCGCTTTCGCACACCCCGTGTTAAAATACACAACTTAATATAGTTTTGGTGCAGCCGCCACAGCGTTCTAAAGCGGGGTTCCCGCCCCTTTCCTGAAAAGCATGCGGACGTTGCATGAGTGGGCGTGTCTAACAATCGTCTTTTTCGCGTCGTAATTAAGAGTCCGGATTTTTTGATTATTTGAAGGCTAGCATTTTTTTTCCTGACATTTATAATTTCCAAGTGTTGCTAGTCATTTCCTATAACTCTCTTAAAATTTCGCAGTTTATTTTCTTGTGGTTTGATTAGTTCAAAGGACTACATAATTGTTCTGTTCACGAAAGTCGAAATTTTTGACTCAGGTTTGATTTTGTATTCTTTTTTTTCCTGTTTAAGTAATTGAAAACTGATAATGTGATCGATTCCTGGAGTTGAAATTTCGATTTTCGGTTTTGTCTCTTAGGTACAGACCAATTACACCTTTTTTTGAATTTTTCGTCAAGTCGAAATTTTTCTCTTTTGCGCGGACACTGACAGCTTTTTTTTTCTTGTTTATTAGTTGGAAACTGATATTTTGATCGATTCTTGGAGTTGGAATTTCGATTTTCGGTTTTGTCTCTTGGATACAGTCTTTTCTTTTAAAAACAACGTTTATACACATTAACGAGCACTTTAAAAACTTTCTAATACGTTTAAAAACATTAATTAAAAATTTACGTGCATAGAAACAAAAAAAAATACTTCAAAAAACAATCGAAAAAATTTAATAGCATGTAAATTAAAGAAAAAAAAGCACCTTGAATTTGATTGAGAACGCTCCAAGTTACGCGCTCCATTGAGAATAGTGTGCGCCTCTTTTTGCGAGAACCCCGTTTTAGAACGCTGTGCCGCGTGACTTAATGGTTAAACTACCAGACTTCGGATCTGGGGGTTGTAGGTTCGATCCCGGCCTTTTTTCTTTTTTTCTAAATTGAACGTTTCAGTATTATGAAAATGATTTTTTCAAAGCATTCTCTCATAATTCATTTGTCTACTGAATAAACATTCTCAAAATTGACAGAAGAATTTTGCGAGTATTATGTCTTGAAATTCTTGGGCAAAAAATGAAAACGGTCCTTTCAAAACGAAAAATGAACGAGCTTCTGGGGGTCATTATATAAAAAATCTTATTCAATTAATTTTTCCCTTGCAACTAAGAAATAATTCTAGAGATTCAAAAGGATGCTCTGAGGCTTTGAAAAATAGCTCAAAAGTCATTTTCAGGAGCTTTAAAGAAACTTTTTCAGCTCATTTTAGGGCCCCTGGAAGGATCTTTTCCGTTTTCCATGTGTGCATGTTGAACAGAAAAATCACCGAGCAGCTCGAAATTATTATTTTTTCTTAAAGTTATCAATAAAACAGGAATTTATTCAAATATTCATTATAAAATCGAACTCACGAAAAAAAAAACCTTTTTTGAACAAAATTGAACGATCCCTATAGGGACTACTTGAGTTTCAAGGGGCCAGACCCTAAAACCCTCGACCACCTTGATTTTACTCCTATAGGGATCACTTTTTCGACCCCTAACCCCTAAAGGGACCACTCTAAAAATCCTAAGCAGGTCCGAAGTCGGGCGCTAAAGTTGTGGAAGGAAGCAATACAAATAGAAAAAGACATTGAAAATACATTTCAGTCGTTATTCAACGAGTAACACGAAACGATAATAAGAAAAAGAACCCGTGTTTATGCCAACCGTAACAATAAAATCACAAATCCTCGCAAATCCTACTATAAAGACCTTTGACTAATGAGAGACCATGTGGGGAGAGATGAAGGGGGTAGGTCCAATAAACCATTCCATTCTGGTCATAGTATTGAAATTCATTGGTTGTGGAGTTTCGGAACAAGGGCGCGTAATCGATCAGTTCACATTTGCTCCCGCAATCCTTCACCAACTGGTCCATCCTCTTTTTTCCGTCTGCATAACTCATCAAGGCTCCGGGCGTAAGAATTTGGGTCTGGAAAAGATCCATGTGAATAGTTCAAAAGCATAACATAGGCAAAGTCGGAAAGGGTGGAAAAAGGTTCCTTTTTTGCTGCATTTTGAACTGAATCTCTATGAATAAATTATTTTTAGGTGGTCCGAACACACGTGACTAATAGTTGTTCAGCTATCATAACTTTTTTTTAAAACAAGAAAGTCGGTAAATGCTGTACTTTGAGGTGAAGTGGTCTATAGAGCGAACGCCTCCCATCTCCGAGAGATGTACGTGGAGCAGCGCAAGTGCGCTTGCATACAGTTTTGATATCGCGAGTTCGATCCTCGCAGCGGCCATTTTTTTCATTTTTCATGTAAAATAGCTTTTCTCTTCAAACTTGTGGTTTTTTACTGTTTTAATAACTTATTATGACTTTGAAAACCGAAATAAACTACTAAAAAAAAAAAATTAAATCCGATATGAAAACAAAATGAACGACCAAAAGCGTAAAATCTAAACTTTCAGTACTAAACTTCGCGACTTTTTTCCCTACTGTTTTGACCATACTTTTTTTGTTTTCAACCTTTTTTTGAAAAACTAAACTGTTTAGAATAGTGAATTGGAGCAGCTATCCAACCATAGTAATATTGAAGCTCAAAATTTTTTTTGAAAATTTGGTTGCGGTCCCTACCTTTATGCACCAATTTTGCTACCTCCACCTTTTTCCACCAATTCTTGAGCCTTTGAAACCCTAGAAAAAATGAAAGGCTAGGAAAAAGGACCCTTTTCGCTGCCTTTTTGCCGCCATTATTGGGCCATTATCCACCATTCCGACTTTGCCCGAGAACCTACATTTTCTGGCCACTTGCCAGCCTTAAAACTGTTGTAGACGATTTCAGTAAATGGCCCCGGCTGCGGGACGGGTCCCAACACGAAAAGCTTCTTTTTGACCTTGTCCCGGTAGTTGAGTATCCGGTTTTTGGCATAGTTATACACCGTGTCGTTTTGGAGATTGGCTAAAGGGACCATTGTCGCCATGTGTCTGGAAAAATATTTCATGCCCCAAAAAATGATTTGAAAAACGAAAAAGAGCTTGAGAATGCGCGCCATGGCTAAAAATTCAATTCATATGGAAATTGATGATTTTTTGAAAAAATTTTTTTGTAAATTGGCCAAAATCCTAGTGGATGTACCAGAGTAGAAAAATCTTCACGAATTCCGATTTTTTTAAAATTAGTCACGAAACCCGACTAAATTTATAGGAATGAGCCATTTTGATTTTTAGCGAGCCCTAGTTTCTTTAATAAAAAATTTTCTAGTGACCTCTTTAGGGTTCTGACGGTTCAGTGGCCACAAGAGTGGTCGGATTAGTAGCTACTAGAAAAGAACTACTATAGTTACCACCTTAGTGTCCTCTTCAAGTAGTCCTTGAGGGACCTCTTAAGTAGCCAGTAAACTTTTTTCCAGTAGCACTTCTCAAAAAGTAAGCCTTTTCGCAGGTTGTTGGAAAATTTTCTAGTGGCCTCTTCAGTGTTCTGACGCTTAAGTGGCCACTATAGTAATCGGATTAGTAGCCACTAGAAAAAAGAACTACTATAGTGGCCACTAAGTGGGAAAATAGTGGCTTCTATAGAGGTCGTTTTAGTGGCCACCTTAGCGTCCTCTCCAAGTAGTTTTTGAGGGACCTCTTAAGTGGTCAGTAAAGCTTATTCTAGTAACACTTCTAGGGTCAAGGAAAATTCTGGTCATTTTTGGGAAATTCGCGATCAACTTTTCAGATAGAATTTTCTCCCCAAAGCTTCTCCTCCAAAAAAATCAGAAGTTGAATTTCTACTTTTTTTAAAGGTAGGAACCAACCTGTCGATCATAAAAGCGTAATCAGGCTTGACCGAGTCCAAAACATCATCAAAATCCTTCATGTTTTGCTTGCACCTGTCGAGTTCCAGGGTCGGATAAAGGGGTTCGCAACCTTCATTTTTCATGTATTTCGATTCTCCCGTTTCTCCCACCATAACTACTGAACATGGTCATGTTGTTGGCTTTCGAATAGCATTCCTTATGGATCATTCTTGCGTGATTCGCCGCCCAACTGTTGCCGAAAATCACTATTTTATTGCGGGCCCTTTTGTTCAGATCCTGGAAATGTCAGATTTTGGATTAGGTCTGTTCTAAAATATTCTATCGTTTCAACCGAAAAAAATCCCTGTAGGGGTTGGGAAAGTGGTCCCTATAGGGGTTAAATTGAGGTGGTCCCTATAGAGGTTAAATTGAGGTGGTCTCTATAGGGGGTTTAAATTCTTACCTCTTAGCTCCGAAACCTCAAGTGGACCCTCTAGGGGTCTTTTAATTTCTTTCAAAAAACGCTTATTTATTCTGTAACTTCTAGACTAGCATGCCCCCTATAGCGGCCACTAACTAAACCACTATAGGGACCACTTTTGCAAGCTTCAGTGGCCCCTATAGGGGTTGGTCTCGAGTGGTCCCTAAAGGGCCTGAAGCACAAAAAAGTTGACCTTACCTGAAAATCACAAATCCCGAGCGGACCCTTCTCCGCGCTGGTATAACTGCACTGCTTCACGTACAGATTCTGATAATCAAAGTGGGAAAATATGACGTTTCTCTCGTTGATTTTATCTGGAATCCAATAAATTGGAAAATCCTGCGGGAAACTAACCAAGAGTCATGTTGGTCGAGTCGAAATCCAGCCAAGTTTCGTTCCCAATCAAGTTTTTGTCGAGGAAGGAAGGTACTCGGGAGGATTTCATGTGGAAGAACATCAGAATGTTGAATATATAGAAGATTATCACTAAGGCTGTTATTCCTCCGGATTTTAGGCTCAGGTACCATCTGGGAGCAAATTACCAAGTTAAAAAGGTTCTTGAACTTCTCACTTTTCAAAAGTCTCTCGAACAACGACGGCGGCCAAAATTGAAGCCGAAAATCCGATAAAAACGGCTAAAAAAAAAGCCAAATAAAGGTTGAAATCAGATAAATTCCTACCGAAAGTACTATCCGGATGGACCAATTTACAATAGGCACAAACTGGCCAATGAATCAGATAGAGAGCATAGGAAATGTCGCCCAAGTAGATTAAAGGTCGGCTGCACAAAATTGGGTGTTCCGCGGCCGCGCAAATCAAAAGACCCGTTAGGAGGGTTGTGTTGAATCTGGAAATATCAACTTCAGAAGGTTATAAAAAGTGACTTCTGATTTAAAAAGTACAAAAATACCAGAAACGGACCAAAAAAGCAGCATTTTTTAGGCTTTAAAGGAACTTTTTATTCGCTAAAACAAAAATTTCGAAGCGCTGGGGATACTGTAGCAACCATTTGACGAATACAAGTATAGTCAATGTTTCCCGACTTGAAAGGCGAAGGAGGCGATGCAAGGGGCGGGACGCGTAGCGTGTGCGTACGCGGTCCTTGGCACGAGTCCAGTTCAATCACCGTCGATTATTTACAAAGCTCGGCAACCGCTCTTTTTCAATGTTTTCTACTATTTTTTGATGCACACATGAACATAATCGATAAATAATTGAAAAAGGAATGAAAAAAGCGAAAAACGGGCTTTTCAAAGAGTCGATGACGGTTGAATCGAACACGTGCCAAGAACCGCGAGCGCACACGCTACGCGCCCCGCCCCCTGCTTCGCCCTTCTCACCTTTCAAGTCGGGAAACATTGACTATAATTAAGCCAATTTCACCTGACGTATAACTCGCTGAACTTTGTCGGTGCGAAAGCCGCGAAAAACATGAGGAAAATCGCTGTAATCTGAGCAACTTTCGGCAATTCCTGTCCATCTTTTGGCTCTTCCCCATCTTTGCCTTGTTCTAAAATCCATAGAATTATAAATTTCACAGCTTTGATATCAAACCAACTACGTCGAGGTCCCCCTTCACGATCAGCTTCTCACTTTCTTCACACTGACTCAGTCGAGAATAATTTCCCAGTGTACTTTTTGGGTCGAAACTACACGTCAGGTAGGCGCTCATACCTGGAGATTTCTCAAAGTTTTCCAATTTTGCCACAAACCGACCTATTAGGAACTGCCAAACTCTGGCGAAGACGTTATTGAATGCGAAGCTTTCACTGGAGGATATATTCAACAAAAATGAGGCAGCACCTGAATAAAATAAATATTCCGACCTGAAAGTGTTCGCATACCTATGGAGACATAAAACAACGGTTGGTATATCTCTGGCAGAAGTTTCGACAAAATGAAGAGAAATGGAACGAGGAGGTAGAATTGAATTTCGACGGAGAGGGACCAGGTATGCGTAAATAGATCTATAGCCATTTGGAGCTGAAATGACAGCTTCATCAAGTTGATCAGCTCCAGCAAACCATTTGAAAATAGTCGTCCTCCGTGGATTTCGGCCTGTTCGAGGCGAAGAAGAGAGCCCAAGGCGCGGTTCGAAGATTCGTGTCGACGGAAGAATCCGGGAAGAAGACGTACAAGGCGAGGAGGATGCCGAGGAGACAGAGAAGGTAGAGCGGCAGGATTCTCTTGAGACGTCGCCAGTAGAAGTTGAGGACGAGTTGGCGTCGCGACATCGTCTGCGACTTCTGGAGCAACATGCACATCAGGAAGCCGGAGAGGACGAAGAATCTGAAAGCGACGAGGATTCTGGAGGATTCTGAAAGGACTGAACTGGTCGACGCCGACGTAGCCATTGGGAAAATGGTCGGGGAAGAAGTGGAAGAGAAGGACGGCGCCGATGGCACAGCCGCGCAGGCCTTGCAGGTCGTCCCGCTTCTTTTTCTGGTCTTCAGGTTTACCCATCTGAATGTTTTAACTTATTAAGTTGATTCGAAGAAGCCTGGAAGAACAGGTTGCAAAAAAAGCTGTTGCTAGTTTAAGCACTTTCAACGCTCTACTCGTTTTAAAAAACTCCGGAAGGCTTCAAGGAACTTTTGTACCTTAAAATTCCAGCAAGTCCACTCACCGAGGGCTTGAGTCTATGGAAAAAAATTCGACAGGGTGCAAAAAAGGCCAAGTTTTTGAAGCCAAAATGTATGGATTACAATAGTTCAAAGTGATTTTGCGGAACAAAAAAAGATTTATATAGTCTGTTCAGATTTTGAATGTCAAGTAGAATGACGTCATTCGAAAATGCTCTGTGGATGGCTCGCTCTCTGATTGGTTTATCGCAACATTATGGGCGGAACTTGAGCGACGACTTGACATTCAAAATCTGAACAGACTATAGTTTCCTGGAAGTTCTTTAGTAACCTCAAGTGGTCCCTTGACGGCGTCTAATTTTTTGAGAATCCCATGAGATGCAGACGGGAACGAAAAAAGAAGCAAGAAATGAAAAATCCACCTCACTTTCAACGCTCTACTCGTTAAAAAAAACGTGTGAACTATTTGAAAAATGAGGACGTTGTTGCAAAAAGATAAAAGAGACCGAAAGTGAAATGGAAGAGATACGCCCGTTCGGCCGGCTTGGGCCATGCGGACTTTTCTCTAGTCTGTCCAAATTTCCTTTGTTGGAGTGATTAAAAGATCAACCAAGAAGGGCGGACCGAAAATCACCCTACGGAAGACGAAAGATCGCTTCGAGACCTTTCCAATGCTCCTTTGAACAATTTGGGTAAGGAGTTGGCCCAAATATCTTTGATTTCTGACCTTCAAGATCCAAAAAACTTCTTACAGGAAGAGCACCTGGAAAATTCAATGAAGAATGGGAAAACTTTTGGTGACCATTAAAGGGTTTTGACGTTTTATTGGCCTCTATCGTAGTCAATATAGTGGCCAGTTAAGGGCTTACAAATTAGTGGCCATTATAGAGGTCTAAGTGCTACTACTAGACCGCTAAAATTTTTAGTGGCCAATTTAGGGGTCAGTGGATCAACATAACTGGTCCGATCTGTTTTTTTTTTTAAATTATCAGAGTTACTGGATGAAAAACTACTGAAGTAGCCACTAAATAGAGACCTCTAAAGGGGCCACTAAAAGGGAAAATCATGGCCACTATAGAGGTGGGTTTAGTGGCCACTTTAGTGTCCTCTCCAAGAAGTCCTTGGCGAGCCTCTATAGTGGCCACTAAAGATTTTCCCAGTAAGTACAAAAAAAAAGGAATTTCAAGCTAATCCTGGCGTGAATATGTGCTCTAGAGCTCAAAATTCTTCCCAAAAATATGATTTCCAGATTTTCTGTTGGGATCATATCCAGCCTTGATTCCAGAAAAAAACAAGAAAAATTTTTAAAAACGCGGAAAAAATTTGGCTCAATTTTAGCGAGAAAGAGTGCTCCAGGGACAAAACCGAAAATTTCGGCTTCGTTTCCATGAAGCACATATTCAGACCAGAAATAAACTCGACTGAGAAGCCTAGAGGGTCGACCTTTCCCCGAACTTATTGAGGTCAGGTCGAAGAATAGATTAGCCGAGGTTAACGGCGAAATTTCCCCAGTGCAAAAACAGCAGTTATGATTGCAATCGTCCGTTTTTAGGGGGTCGATCATTTTTTCCCTGTCCTTCTTCTTATTGAGATCGGAGGCTTCCTAATGATTTTGGTTCCTAACTTGTTAATATATAGATTTGTATGCCCCCTAATCCCAAGTAAAAGCTCTTTTTTTCGATCACTAAGAAAAAAATCGCTTGAAAAATTACAAAAATGAATTTTTTTTTTTTTTTTATACGATCGAACTAGCTCCGCCCAGCGCGCACCCTGAAAATTTTTTACGGTTTATGCCCCCCCCCTTTTTCTCTTTTTTTGCCAAGTCTTCATATTCCGCAACTTGAGTGAATAGTTTGCGATCGGTAACTTTGTACCATCGGAAAAATATCTATTCTAACCGTAAACTTCAAAACTTTTAAGAGAAACTTAAAATTTCACCATGAAGTTTGCTTCATCCATGGAATCCGAAACCTTGTAGGATTCCCTCGTTTTTCCCCAGATTTGCAAGAAATCAAGCATATGCAAAATTTGAAATATTTCACATGCGAAATTTTTGTGTATTAACATACGCCCTTGCAGTCCTTTGACAAAAATTCTTATTTGAACAGCTTTTGCATGCAAATTTCAGACGGAATTTATTGAAAAATGGGCGGAGACGAGAAAAAAAAAAGATCATAATTTCAAACTACAGAGAGTATAAAAGAACATGCGATATAATCGAATAGAGAACGTGCAAAAACTTGTAAAACTCACGAAAAAAGTTCATTCACCTCTATTTCAGTGGGAAATGTCAAAATCCAGTATTTTCTCATACGTTTGCAAGCCATTGAGCGTTATTTCAAGACAGCGATGAATAAATTAAATTAGATCGAACTTTTGTTCGATTTTTGTGGACTTCAATTGCACTACCTTGATGCCTATTTCGAAAATGCTACCGGTAAAAAATGACCAATTTTCAGTTATCACATATCATTGCAAATTTTAGTGTAAAGACCTTTGACTAATGAGAGACCATGTGGGGAGAGATGAAGCGGGTCGGTCCAATAGAGCATCCCTTTTTGGTCAAAGTATTGAAACACATTTGTCGTCGAGTTTCGGAACAAGGGAGCGTAATCGATAAGTTCACATTTGCTCCCGCAATCCTTCACCAACTGATCCATCCTCTTCTTGCCGTCTTCGTACCTTTTTAACGATGTTTTGGCGGGGAAGATTTCGGTCTGAAATCGAAAATGGTCAGTTTTGAGTCACCAGAAGAATATCTCTCTAGGGAACTTTTTTTTTCCCGTCCTTATATTTTTCTTTCTGGAACCAGGAGGTCCTAAAGTACACTTAAGCGAAATTTCATCAAAAATTTTTAAGGAGGGGGGAAGGGGTAAAAAAACTTCCCAACTTTTTCAATTCCCACCAGTCTCGAAACTTGCCTTGGTGGGGGATTTTTTTCGGACGTGGGGGGAGGGGGACGATTCTAGGATTAAATATAGTCCCCCATTCGATTCAGCCAGCACTCAAAGTTCTTTGAGTTCACCTCCCACCAGTCTCGAAACTTGCCTTGGTGGGGGGGCTTTTTCGGACGTGGGGGAGGGGGACGATTCTAGGATTAAATATAGTCCCCCCCCCATTCGATTCAGCCAGCACTTAAAGTTCTTTGAGTTCACCTCCCACCAGTCTCGAAACTTGCCTTGGTGGGGGGCTTTTTCGGACGTGGGGGGAGGTGGACTTCTGGAAAATTCCCAAAAATGTCTAAATTTCCAAAAATGACCTTGTCTTTGAGTTCACCTCCTACAAGTCTTAACTTGCCTTGGTGGGGGCTTTTTGGAAATGTGGGGGGCAATTCTCATTTTGCAAAAAAATGACCTTGTCTTTGAGTTCACCTCCCACCAGTCGAAACTTGCCTTGGTGGGGGGCTTTTTCGGACGTGGGGGGAGCATTTCTGGAATTTTCCCAGAAAACCAACTAAACGTTGAGAAACCAAAAAACAACTTTGCTACTAACATCCTTGGGCCAGGTTCCATTTTTGAAGCTGTCAGAGACGAAGATGCTCAAAGTTTTGGGCTCAGGGAGAGGCCCAACAATATAGAGTTTCTTCCCCACGAGATCCTTGAAAGAGATCAGTCGATCCCTGGCGAGTTTGTAGAGATTATCCGACTGGATGTCGGCCAGGTTGTCCATCAAGGAGATATGTCTGTATAAACACATGATTACTATTAAAAATATGGGATTTTCTGTACCTGACGATCATGAACGCGTAGTCAGGCTTGGCCGACGTGAGAAGGTCGTCGAAATCCTTCATATTCTGCTTGCAGCGTTGGTCGAACCCATAAAATGGTTCACAACCTGAAAAAAAGCTGTTTTAGGTTAATAACTTGCTAAAATTCAAAGGCATAGGGACAGTTAAAAACCGGGTATCAGGTGAAAGAAGTATCTTGTAGAGTTTTTCATTGCGAATCGAACGGTATACTTAAAAATGTACAGAATGTCCTATTTTTGGAGAAATTCATATGAAAAAAAAATTCCCATCAAAAAGGCGTTTTGCAGTAAAGTTGCTCTATGGACAACATGAATCGCAATTTTTCTTGTTTTCGTTTTTTTTTTCCAATTCTCAATTTTTTTTGCTGTCCCCAAAGGAAAAAGTCTGCAAAATCGCGTGTACGGCTACTGTAAACAGTTTTCTGTACACCGATCCAAAGCATTTTCCAAAATATAGTCTGTTCAGACTTTTAATGTCAAGTGAAATGACGTCATTCAAAAACGCTCTGTGGATGGCTCGATCTCTGATTGGTTTATAGCACCATTAGGGGCGGAGCTTGAGCGACAACTTGACATTCAAAATCTGAACAGACTATAGAAAGGCGGGGAAATAAAATCGCATTTTTCTTCAAAAGCAGTCATATATGTGCTTTTTTGAGTACACCGTTCGATTCGCAATGAAAAACTCTACAAGAAACTGACCACCTGAAAACCTTTCAACTGAAAACGCGATTTTTACTGCCCCTATGCCATTAAGTGATCACTACAGAGAGAAACGGGAACAATCTTCCTGCTTAAGTCATCACTAGAGAGCCTAAGTGGCCCCTCAAATGAAGTCACTTAAAGAGTACCAAAATTCAATTTCGTCCCCTGCAAATTCTAACAGATACATCACTATAAAAAGTTAAAATTGACATTTTTCAAAGAGAAAATTCCGTTCCCCAGCTTTCAACAGGATTTCTCACCATAACTACTAAACATGGTCATATTCTTGGCTTTCGAAGAACATTCGTCATAAAACATCCTTGCGTGATTCGCCGCCCAACTGTTACCAAAAAGGACAATTTTATTCTTGGCCTGTTCGTTAAGACCCTGAAAATCATAAATTTCATCCGTCGAACATTTATATCCTCACTTGGAATTTACAAAGACCGAGTGGCCCTTTTTCCGCGTTCGTGTACTCGCAATGCTTCAAGTAGAGATTCTGATAGTCAAAGTGGGAATAAATCCAGTTTTTCTTGTCGATTTCTTCTGAAATTATTGGAAAATTAAGCAGAAAATGACAGGAAAATGAACCAAAAGTCATTTGACTCGAGTCGAAATCCCGCCAAGTTTCATTTCCGACCGTTTTGTCGTCGACAAACTCGGCGACTCGGGTAGATTTCAAGTGCAGCCACAGGATAATGTTGACGGCATAGAAGATCGACACCAAGACGGTCAAACTCTTGGATTTCAGAAGAAGGTACCACCTGGAGACAAAATATAGAGTACGGGAGTATACTCAAGAACTCCTACTTTTCAAAAGTTTGCCCGACGACGATGGCAGCCAAAACTGACGCGATAAGGCCAACGAGTGCAGCTAAAAAGAAAAAAATCAAGAGTGAAATGTGGATGGCCTCACCAAAAGTACTATCCGGATGGATCAATTTGCAATGAGCACAAATTGGCCAATGAATAAGATATAACGCGTATGAAATATCGCCCAAGTAGACCAAAGGTCGGCTGCACAAAATCGGGTGTTCTGCGGCCGCGCAAATCAAAAGTCCAGTTAGGAGAGTCGTGTTAAACCTGGAAATATATATTCTAAACAGAAACAAAAAACTGAAATTCAACTCTGCATAGAAACGAGAATATCCCCCAGTTTTCCAATAACAGGCTGGCCTATTGCGTAGTACATCTAGAGAAAAGAACAGCGGAACAAGGTCTTTGCGCCGATCATTTTGAAAAATGTTCATCTTTTATTAAAAAACTTCTACTCGCTTCTGAGGATATATAGGATATAATTATAACAACAACAAAAAAACACCTTGAAAAATTAGAGAAAAATTCTCATCATTTTTTTCAAAACTGTTCTAGAGAGGCCGCTCGGCTTTTTCAAGGATACCACCCATCTTTTATGAAAATCTAAATCTAGAAATTTACTGAAGAAAAAAAGAAAAAAAGTAGTAAAATTGAAGAAAAAAAAAAAAATCAACAAAGCCCTAAAGTGGAATTTCCGCTGCGCAGGAGAGCGTGAATGACAGATTTTTCCGGTTGCCAAACAAACATTTTTTTCTTCTCTTTTTTTCTTCCAAATTTCCTTTTTCTTTATTTAATTTTTTTCGAAAAGAAAATGTTTGCATAATAAGCTAAAAAAAGCTCTGAAATGTAAATTGTACTTTTTGATTACCTTATTGACGGGAGATTTTTTTCAAATTGAAAAAAATATTTATAAATAATGGTTGAGTGGGAAGATCCAATAAAGTCTCTAACATAGTTTTTAAACTCTTAAGGTAAGATAATGGTCGCACCTGACGTATAATTCGCTGAATTTGGTTGGCCCGAAAGCGGCGAAAAACATGAGAAAAATCGCTGTAATCTGAGCAACTTTCGGCAATTCCTGACCATTTTTTGGCTCTTCTTCAATGGCTTTGATTTCATCTGAAAATTGAATACTGTTCAAACTTTTTTGTCGTTTTCAGACCAGAAAGGTCGATTTCCCCGTCTTCAAGGACCAATTTTTCGCCTTCTTCGGCTTGGCTTATTTGGTCGTACTTTATTGATTTTGGTTCAGTCTCGTAACTGCAAGTCAGGTAGGAAACCATTCCTGTAATTTTATTTTTAATATATTTTTGAAAAATTGAGAAACCTATCAAAAAAACTGCCAAACTCTGGCGAAGACATTGTTGAAGGCGAAGCTCTCACTTGTGGAAACATTGAGTAGGAATGAGGCCGATCCTGTTGTAAAATATTTAAAAATGAAAAATGTTCCTGAACGTACCCACGACGGCGTAAAATAACGGCTGACGCGTTTCTGGTATGATTTTTGACAAAATGAAGAGAAATGGAACGATGAGGTAGAACTGGATCTCAACGGAAAGAGACCAGGTGTGAGTGAATAGATCGATGGCGACTTGAAGCTGAAATGACAGCTTCATTAAGTTGATCAGCTACAGCAAACCATCTGAAAGTAGTCGTCTTCGGTGGATTTCGGCCTATTCGAGGCGAAGAAAAGAGCCCAAGGCGCGGTTCGAAGATTCGTGTCGACGGAAGAATCCGGGAAGAAGACGTACAAGGCGAGGAGGATGCCGAGGAGACAGAGAAGGTAGAGCGGCAGGATTCTCTTGAGACGTCGCCAGTAGAAGTTGAGGACGAGTTGGCGTCGCGACATCGTCTGCGACTTCTGGAGCAACATGCACATCAGGAAGCCGGAGAGGACGAAGAATCTGAACGGGATGAGTATTCTGGAGAATTCTGAAGGGACTGAACTGGTCGACGCCGACGTAGCCATTGGGAAAATGGTCGGGGAAGAAGTGGAAGAGGAGGACGGCGCCGATGGCACAGCCGCGCAGGCCTTGCAGGTCGTCCCGCTTTCTTCTTGTGCTCTTCCGGTTTACCCATCTGGAAAATTTATGTGGTTACACTGCCTTCATCGGAATGGACGCGTTTGGAATGGCTACACGGTATCGATTTGTTTTAGACTGGAAAGCCAAAGCAGGCTTCAGAATAACATGTTTATTTACGTTATCTCAAAGCCATTCTCCATGCGACCTACTCAGAAAAAAATTATGCCGACTAGATATTTTACAAGGAAGAGTATAGAACATGGTGGAAAATAACAAAGTGGTTCATCTTTTTCGAAATCAGGTCGATTTTATTCAAGTTCTGCTGGAAAAATGGACAAGAGTGTTATTTTCCTGGCTTTACCTCCTTTTTTCCAACTTTTTAACGACAATAAAAGGAAAATTCGAGTTAAAAAAAAAGTAATAAGTAGAAAACTTCCTTTCGAAAGTCGAGCGAGGTAGCAAGAAAGAAAAAGACTCGGGACGAAAAAACTGAAAACCAAAGCCATTCCAAATGAAAAATGAAGCGAGTCTCAGGCTTCTTTCTCTCGATTCTAGAAGCCGGAATATTCGACTCGGACCGGCCGAAACAAAAAGATAGTATCGGGAATATTCCTCGGCGACATCCGAAAAAGGACGTTTCAACCTACGAATCGGGTCGGGAGAGGCGCTAATGAACAAGAGGAAAATCTGAAAAAGAGGAAAAAAGAAAAATCACCTGCCACCTTTTTTTTTTGCTTGACCTGGATGAGGTCTCTTTCTCATAGGTAATGCTGCTGGCTTGGGTACAAAAAAGGACCAAAATATAGAAAGGTGGAAGTTTTTGGTCATCTAAGAAACAATTGAAATTAAAAAAACTATCAAAAATCCAAGAAAGGTTCCAAAAAATGCGCAGCTTTGCACGCTACAAAAAAAAAAATCTATAGCCGATTCCACCGTTATTTTTGGGCGCGCATGGGCGTCGTCTGTCTGCGCTTTTTTTAATCGTACCAGGACCATTTTTCGATGGCTCAATCCAGCCATGGATCGACTATACATGCCTTCACGCGAAAACCGGATCAGGTCGGTACAAGGAACTAAAATAATTCAGGACTTTGGTCTGCTATCGCCGAAAGAGTCGTCTCCAAGGAAAATTGCGAGTTCTAATAATTTTTCTTCGTCCTAATTTCTTCATAAATTTTTTTCAGAATGCAAATTCCAACGTTACGTGATTCAAATAAATACATTTTATTACAAATACACAGAAAAAAACATGCGAAATAATGCATGACTTTGTTCTCCTTTTCATGCACTTCAAAAAGCAATAAGACATGAAAAAAACATACACAATCGAAATTTCTTTTGCAAATTTTGACTGGAAGAAATTGAAAGGAAAAAGGTCTATATATATAGCATTGCACTGTTCTTAAGAAAATGATAGTGAAATCAAAAATAGCTAGGTCTTTTTTTTGGCTATTCAAAGTACTTATTGAAATTTTAAAAAAGAGCTTTTTTCAAACTCCAGTTTAGCCGGTTACTTTGAAAAAAAGACTATTATGAGAATTTTTTGTGATGGGAAGAATCTTGAAACTTCTCTAGAATTTTTAGAATTCAACCACTCATTTTTCAATCAATTTTGAAGGCATAGGGGCAGTAAAAACGGTGTTTTAGTTCAAAGCAGAGTCTTTCATTGCGAATCGAACGGTGAACTTGGAAACGTACAAAAGTTTCTAGTTTTGAAGAAAAAATTATTCAAAGTCGGAGGGAGGAAAGTTTGAGTTCCCGCCAAAAAGGGCACTCTGCAGTAAAGTTGCTCTATGGAGCAGGCTTTATCAACTTCCGGATTTCAGCTTTTTTCTTTGCTTCTTACACAATTCAATTCGCAATGAAAAACTATATAAGAAACTGCTTTCACCTGAAACCCCGTTTTTTACTGCCCCTATGCCTTTAAGCATGCACTAGTGTAACCATGCTTAGAACTTGCAAAATTTCCAAAAAAGGCTTATAAATGATTGCAAATATTCTCGAAAAGACCTTTAACGAGGGCAAGGCCGTGGGGCGTCAGGTGCAGATTATCGTTCCAGTAAAGCATTCCATATTTGTCATAATATTGAAATACGTTGGTCGTCGAGTTTCGGAACGACGGCGCGTAGTCGATCAGCTCGCATTTGCTCCCGCAGTCCTTCAGAAGAAGGTTCATCCGTTTCATGCCGTCTTCGTATCGTTTCACGGAGTCCGGGGTGATTATCGTCGCCTGGAAAGGAAATTCAAGATTTCTGACAGAACGATCTCACAAGGGAGGCCATTTCACTTTTTTGTTTCCTGAAAATTTTTCAATACACTCCTTGATGTACCAGAGAAAAAACCTGAGAGTTTTAACAAGCAAAATTTCTTAGTTTCCAAAAAAAGACATCTCCAAGACAGAGGAAATCCTCAAACTCCATAAAAACAAGTTGTTCCAGGGCTTTGAGCACTCATTTCTCAAAAGCTGGGAAACTTTCAGGATCTTCACCTGGTACATCAAGCCGTCTTTCGGGGACTTCCCATTTTGAAAGTAAAACTACCTTTTTTGTCAGCACTAAGTTCTTATTGAAACTAGAGTCGCAAAAATTATTTCCTCGGAAAATACGCTCAAAAACGACCAATGAAGTCTTTGAAAAAATTATAGGTGTTAATAATTTGATCAAGAGCCATTTTTTTGAAAAAAAGGATATGAGCTGGAGTCTTTGAAAGAAATAATGTGTTTTCAAAATTCAAAAAAATCAAGAGCCATTTTTGAAAAATGGATATGAGCTGGAGTCTTTGAAAGAAATAATGTGTTTTCAAAATTCAAAAAAAAAAAATCAAGAGCCATTTTTGAAAAATGGATATGAGCTGGAGTCTGTAAACGAAATTATGTGTTTTCAAAATTCGAAAAAAAAAATCCAAAAAAAAAGCCACTTTTGATTTTCTAAATTCGTAGTTTTGATCTTCTCTTTGGGAAGCATATGCGAATGTTTCTTAAACCATATCCCGGCTCAAAAAAATTTTCAGACAAGAGAAAAATCAATAAATCGTGATCTTTTGTTCTAGCCAGCTCAATGTAACCTTCAAGAGCGGCTCAATTATTTTTTTTTAAATTTTCAGCGACCAAACTTTTTTCAAGAACCTTTTTCAGCAAACTTCATTTTCTTCAAGGCCTCATTAACCAATTTTAAAGTCTTCTTCTCAAAAATCGCTTCGAAAAACTTCGAGAATAGTTATCCTTGAAAAATTTCTAGCCCAGATTTAGAAAATTTCGAAAAAATGATCGTGCCAAAACTGCACAAAGTGATCCTAGCCGTATCTATGAACTTCAATTTGTGATGAAAAAATAAAAACGAACGTCGTTGGGCCATTTCCCGGCCTTGAAGCTCTCCTGGACGTTCCAACTCAGCGCGGTTGGCTGTGGCAGAGGACCGACCATGTAGAGCTTCTTGTCGATTTTGTCCCGAAAGTCTATGATCCTCTTCTTGGCCACGTTGTAGACCGTGTCGTTCTGGGCGTCGACGAAGGGGTCCATCATTGATATGTGTCTGAAGACTTTAATTTATTCAATTTTTCCTATCTAACTGAACCTCATGAACATGAAAGCGTAGTCAGGCTTGACCGTGTCCAGGACTTCGTCAAAATAATGGGCTCCTTTTCTACACCGGTCATCGAATGGATAGAGGGGTTCGCAACCTAAAATTTGGTTTCACTTGTACTTTTTGAAAAATAAATGGAAAAAACTCATGAAAATTGAGAAGTTTGACCTTTTTGAAGTGTTTCACATGGTAAAGTACAGCTTCAAAATCAAAAACCAGCTATAATCAATCCAGATTTTAAATGCCAAGCCCCGCCTCTAATGGCGCGATAAGCCAATCAGAGACCGAGCCATCCACAGAGCATCCCCGAATGACGTCCTCGTACTAGACAATCGAAATATGAATAGACTATATAAAAACGCCTACTAGAGCCATTCTGAACTTTCTTCAACTTTTACTTGTGTTTGACAAAAAAAAAATGGACAAAATTTGTAAAAGTTGAAAATATGTACCTTTTCAATCTCTGGACTTGCTTAAGTACCCTTCAACCGAAACATTTTTTTGTTCCAAAATTTTTGGAACAAAAAAAAATCTACAATCTAGAAAAAAAAAACTTTAATGCATTGAAACTCATCAGATGCATGAAATAGAAGATTTTAAATTAAAAAATTTATTCAAAAAGGGTATCGATTAATTTTTTCAGTGTTTCTTTTGGCGATCATAAGGCTTACTTTTCTTTCTACAAGCCCTATTTATGATCAATTCACGGTAAGCTTGGGGGGCTAAATGGGCGTGGCCTGTCTGCGCTTTCCACGAGCCAGACACTATCTCTTCCCTTATCGTGTCAGGACCATTTTTTGATGAATTAAGCCAGCCGTGAATCAATTTTACGCCCTTTGAGTTTTATGAAACACAAAACCAGAGTGAAAATTACATTTTTACAAACTTTGCATAATTTCTAAGTTGACAACCTGTACCAGATCCATCTGGAATAGGCTAAATTCGAAGTTTGCTTGAAAACGCAGGGCGTGTCAACGACGCGCGCGCGAGTCTCTCACAGCGAAAAGCACACCGTTCGGATGTGTACCGTAACCAACGGCAGGCAAGGAGAGCACGATTTTTCAAAATTTCCCCAGTTTTCCAGCTTTTGGGTTTTCTACACGGGTTTTTCTTTAGGAAATTTTCCAAGCTGTACGCGACCCAGTTGAAAGGCAAACTGAGTTATTTGGGAATGCAATAGACAAATAACGTGCATTTTTTCCAGAAACATTTTTTTTCCCAATTTTTCAGAACCCTTGATATTCCTTACCATAACTATTGAACATGGACATGTTTCTCGCCTTCGAAGAACACGCCTTATGGAACATCCTCGCGTGATTCGCCCCCCAGCTGTTGCCAAGAACTGCGATTTTGTATTTCGCCTTTTCATTCAGCCCCTAAATCTATCAAAATCAACACCCTTTCCGTAATTTCCGCCCCACTTTGAATTCACAAGGCCCGAGAGGACCTTTCTCCTCGAACTTGTAATCGCACTGCTCCACGTACAAGTTTTTGTAGTCATTGTACGAGAAAAGCCAGTTTTTCTCATTGATTTTCTCTAAAACGAAAAAAGTTCAGTAGGACTATGTGGTGGATTCACCAAAAGTCATGTTACTCGGGTCGAAATCCAGCCAAGTTTCGTTTCCCATCGAGTTTTTGTCGACGAAGGTCGGCACACGCAACGATTTCAGGTGGAAAAAGACGACAGCGATGATAATGTAAAATATTGTCACTAGGGCTGTTATTCCTTTGGAATTCATGCGCAGGTACCACCTGGACAAAAACTATTAATATTCTGAGATTTCTACATTTTTCTCACTTTTCAAATGTTTGTCCGACGACGACGGCAGCCAAAACCGACACGGTAAGACCGATAATTACAGCTAAATATTTAGAAATTCACTCAAAAACGTGGAATGTTCAAACCAAAGGTGCTTTCCGGGAAGACCGATTTGCAATAGGCACAAATTGGCCAATGAATTAAATATAGAGCATAGGAAATGTCGCCCAAGTAGATTAAAGGTCGGCTGCACAAAATCGGGTGTTCCGCGGCCGCGCAAATCAAAAGACCCGTTAGGAGGGTTGTGTTAAGTCTTAAAACATTTATTTCAGAAGATATTGATCGAGATAAAAATCGATAATACCTGACATATAATTCGCTGAACTTAGTCGGACCAAAAGCCGCGAAAAACATGAGGAAAATCGCTGTAATCTGAGCAACTTTCGGCAATTCATCACCATTTCCTGGTTCTATGGTTCCAAGTTTTTCTGAAAACTGACAAGATTCTTCATGAAACCCTATGAACCCACTAGAAACATCTCCATCTTCCAATTCTTTCGCTTCTTCTGAAAATTTATAAAACAAAAATTTTTCCAAATTGATTAACCAACCTCCTAGGTCAAGCTCATCGTCGATGACGAATCTTTCCTTTTCTTCGCTCTGACTTATTACGTTGTATTTTCCCAGGGTTGAATCAGATTCGTAACTGCAAGTCAGGTACGAAACCATTCCTGTAATTTTATTTTAGTATATTTTTGAAAATTGAAAAACCTATCAAGAACTGCCAAACTCTCGCGAAGACGTTGTTGAATGCGAAGCTCTCACTTGAATATGTTTGCAATAAGAATGAAGTGGTCCCTAAAGTGGTGATGAAAGGAGAGAAATATTATCGCCACAACTTGAACTCAGAAAAAAAGAGAGCTCAGAGAGGACAGACTGTTTAAAATTACCCAAGGCGGCGTAAAACGAAGGCTGATGTCTTTCCGGCAAAAGTTTGGACAAAATGAAGAGAAATGGAACGATGAGGTAGAACTGGATCTCTACAGAAAGAGACCAGGTATGAGTGAATAGATCAACGGCTGAATGAAGCTGCAAAAAAAAACCATTTTATAGGTTTAAGATACCTAAAAAACCAGCTGAAAATAGTTTTCTTCAGTGGATTTCGGCCTATTCGAGGCGAAGAAGAGAGCCCAAGGCGCGGTTCGAAGATTCGCGTCGACGGAAGAATTCGGGAAGAAGACGTACAAGGCGAGGAGGATGCCGAGGAGACAGAGAAGGTAGAGCGGCAGGATTCTCTTGAGACGTCGCCAGTAGAAGTTGAGGACGAGTTGGCGTCGCGACATCGTCTGCGACTTCTGGAGTAACATGCACATCAGGAAGCCGGAGAGGACGAAGAATCTGAAAGCGACGAGGATTCTGGAGGATTCTGAAGGGAGCGAACTGGTCGACGCCGACGTAGCCATTGGGGAAATGGTCGGGGAAGAAGTGAAAGAGAAGGACGGCGCCGATGGCACAGCCGCGCAGGCCTTGCAGGTCGTCCCGCTTCTTTTTCTGGTCTTCAGGTTTACCCATCTGGAAAAAAATATGAAATGAACACAAGGTCAGGTTTGATATTGGAACTTCTGCCAAACTCTTTTTGGTAGCCCAGATTAAGCTTGGAAGAATATTCACAAAAACTTCTAATTCGAAGATATGAACTTAAATTTCATGAGCAAAAAAATTTTACAGATTTGAAAAAAATTATCATCAAAAAAACAGAAATTTCCGGATGTAGAAACTATGAAGGATTCATTTAGATTTTCATAGATTATCATAGTAAATTTTAGGAAAATTTGGGAATAAAGTTACCTTCATCGTGGGGAGAAAAAAAATTTGAAGGCTATTCAATTTCTGGGCGCTTTTAGTAATATAAAAAGGGAAGGAGCGGAGAAACATGGCGTATATGTACGAACTATTCATGGAACCATAATCGATTTTTCGATTTCAATGATTTCCTAGCCAAAGCTCTTCCAAAATTAAAGGACGTTTAACTTTGGCCGCTGGGATTTTCGAAAAATTGGCGAAACCTGTGCAATTTTTACGGTTTCCGAAGAAATATTCTTCAAGTCCAAAGCCTTCCAAATAAATTAAGCTTTTTTCAGGCTGTGAGCCCTCTTTTATAGAAAAACAGGGATTTTTCAGACTTTGAGACCTTCAATTTCTCATTTGGATCTTCAAGAAGCTATTTGGCCAATTTTCAGAAAACTTCTGAGCGCAAGGTAAAAAATAAACTCGAAAAAGTGCGTCAAAAAGGTGTGAATCGATAAAATTGGAGGTGGCTTCTGAACGAAAATCGACGGAGATCTTGGATTTGCCTCCTTAAATCCGGGCTACTCGATCTTTCGGACTGGGGCGTTGTTCCGCACACGAAGAGATGGTATCTATATATTCCACGGCTACGTCTTTTATCTCGTGCCAATCTCTCGAAAACTGAAGATGTTTTTGAACTTTTGTAACGTTTTATTTAGGTCTGCGGTACAGGGGCGTTTTCTCGTTGATGAGGTAGTAGTTGTTTCTCATCGTCGTGACGTCTCCATATTTATGCACTAGGTACATGTGTAGGAGTGTGACGAATGCCGCGAAAACTGCCACAGCCCCCATGAGGAACAGAAAAGTCCGGCGGCTGTTTGGCTCATCATAAAAGGTTCTCACTGATATCGGTACGTCCTGGAAAATAGAATGAATTTTGGGACTGTCTTTGGTAATGATCATGGTCAAAAATTTCCGCTGCTCTTTTGGGACTGCTTTTGGTACTGCCAAAACTTCCACTAATCTTGGGACAGTCAAAAATTTCCACTGCTCTTGGGACTGCTCTTGGGACTGCCAAAAATTTCAATTCTCTTTTGGGACTGCCAAAATTTCCACTAATCTTGGGACTGCCAAAAATTTCCACTGCTCTTGGGACTGCTTTTGGTACTGCCAAAAATTTCAATGCTCTTTTGGGACTGCCAAAATTTCCACTAATCTTGGGACTGCCAAAAATTTCCACTGCTCTTGGGACTGCTTTTGGTACTGCCAAAAATTTCAATGCTCTTTTGGGACTGCCAAAATTTCCACTAATCTTGGGACTGCCAAAAATTTCCACTGCTCTTGGGACTGCTTTTGGTACTGCCAAAAATTTCACTGCTCTTTTAGAACTGCCAAAATTTCCACTGTTCTTGGGACTGCCAAAATTTCCACTAATCTTGGGACTGCCAAAAATTTCCACTGCTCTTGGGACTGCTTTTGGGACTGCCAAAAATTTCAATGCTCTTTTGGGACTGCCAAAAATTTCACTGCTCTTTTATGCCGTGTTCAAAGTAATTTCCGCGAAATGCAAAATGGTCTCTGACCCTCCAAAATTTAGTTATCTTTCTCTTTCTCTGACGGCTATTTTGAATTTCGCGGAATTACTTTGAACACGGCATTAGGACTGCCAAAATTTCCACTGTTCTTGGGACTGCCAAAATTTCCACTGTTCTTGGGACTGCCAAAAATTTCCACTAATCTTGGGACTGCCAAAAATTTCCACTAATTTTGGGACTGCCAAAAATTTTCACTGCTCTTGGGACTGCTTTTGGGACTGTCAAAAATTTCACTGCTCTTTTAGGACTGCCAAAATTTCCACTGTTCTTGGGACTGCTTTTGGGACTGCCAAAAATTTCACTGCTCTTTTAGGACTGCCAAAATTTCCACTAATCTTGGGACTGCCAAAAATTTCCACTAATTTTGGGACTGCCAAAAATGTTCACTGCTCTTGGGACTGCTTTTGGGACTGTCAAAAATTTCACTGCTCTTTTAGGACTGCCAAAATTTCCACTGTTCTTGGGACTGCTTTTGGGTATGCCAAAACTTCTACTGCTCTTTTGGGACTGCTTTTGGGACTGCCAAAATTTTTACTGCTCTTTTGGTACTGCCAAAATTTCCATTGCACTTTTGATACTGCCAAAAACTTTCACTGCTCTTGGGACTGCCCAGATTTCTAACGCCTTTTCAGAATTGCCAAAATTCTGGGAAAATTAAAAGTATAATTGCGGAAAAATACAAATTCCTGAAAACAAGTGTATTCCATGCCGTTTTTTTGGGTTACAAACACGGCATTACATACCAAGAGCATTGAATTTTTCATAAATTAATACGTTAGGTTTCTCGGATCAAAAAACACTTTCTTTCACTATTCAAGCTTAAAATCTAAATTTTCAGTTGGTTTCTATCTCAAATACTACGTTTCTTCCCAACTCACCTTCGGGATCGAATTTTTCAGCTTTTCCATCGAGACCTGCTCGTCGAAATTCTTCATCCCGACTGTCCAATAGTTTATAACCTCAATTTATCCTTAGAAAACGGCTAAAGTTTTCTCAGAACCTCCTTCTCATAGGGCATCTTCATCACAGGCCGAACTCCTGACGTATTATTGTAGTTGATGTCAAAATAATTGTTACAAGAAGCGTTGAATCGAGTCCATTCTAATGAATTTTTCAAAGTCGACAAGAAATTGTGGTCTTTTTTGCACCTTGACTTGGCCGGCCAGTTTTGAAGAACTGAGCAAAGTATTCGGGATACAACTGGGACAAAGCTTCCTCATTTTCGTCCTTTTCGAATTTATGAACGCCGAGAAGGTAGTAGAGGTCGTCGGTGTGTCTCGGATGCTTCGGATACTGGTACGAGTAGAGGTAAACCTGAGAGGATACAAATAATATCTTTTTTCATAACTTTGAGCTTTTATCCCACGTTCTCCGATTAACTATTGGCACTACAAAATTCATGTTGCTTTTTTTTTGAGCTTATACTTTTATCACAAACACTACACAAGTCTCTGAAAATTCTAGTGGAGGTTTTGACAAGCTCCGCCCCTTTTGAGGATTACTGTAGCCAAAAAAATCAATTTTTCCAGACTTCCAGAGGGGGAGTTTAGAGTTAGAGTTAAAAAAAAACTGCACTAGTGAGCTTAGCTTCAATTAAAAAAACTTTCCTTTCAGCAGATTTTCAAGTCATAAATTTTCCAATTTCAAACATTTTTTATCTTTAGCTCTCGAAGAGCTTGCAAAATTCGAATATTCTTCCAATCTTCAGTTTTAAACTCAAGAGGCCGGCATAGACAAAAGAAAAGTGTGTAGCGCATTTTGAGCCCCTTTATCATTTGGTAGTCACTCAAAGTTGTTCAGACCCTTCTAAGTGGCCAAAAAATCAAGAAAAAAAAAACTCTTATCTCTGTTTTAGATAATGGAATGTCTGAGGAGCACTTGATAAGTTTTTTTAACCCTTTCAGCCACAAAATAGAGCTGATAAACGAACTTGGGCGCCATTTCGCGTCGCCGTCTGTGCATCAGCCCAGGTTGAGAGGAACAATCCTTGGGTATCTTCCGAGTGATTGAAACCGGAAACTCATGAATTTCTTTTCAACGTTGTTTGGAAAACTAACCAAGCCTTCCGTTTTTTAAGTCATCGAAATATTTTGCTCTGACTTGGTTCATGTTTTTGAAAGAGAGAAATTCGATAAGTTCAAATGGATCATTGCTTGTATCGAGTTCTTTCGATGTGGTGCCAGTCATATACGGGATTTTTCTCTGAAAGAAAAAATATTTTGGTGTCAAGTGATCCGCCTGTAGATTCATAGCAGCCAGTTCAAAATAGTTCTTTTTTTGGTGCCTTTTTTTGGAAATATTCCAATCCAACATCCTTATATAATGATAAAAATTTCCTTTTTAAGGCTACAGTTATGACTCAACTATCAATGAATAAGAAAAGAAGAAAAATCAGCCAAAAACCCCAAATTATCAAACCACAGAGGTAGAAAGGAGCTCCGGGATGCTTTTGCCTTGAAAAAGCGGTTCAGCCAATAAAAGATGCGAGAACTGGTCTTTCACGCCTTCCTCTTCCAATTCACGTTGGTAACTTGAAAAGGAACTCTTGTCTTTTTTAAATATTGTGGTTCAACCCCAATAAAACGCGCTGATCCAGCTTCTTCAAGCAGTTCAGGGCGTAGCTGTCGCGGAAGTTCTCAGAGAACGGAGGGCGTCTGTTGGGAGGATTGCACTGAATTTTCTTAAGAGTACAGATAGAATTCCATTTTTCGAACTCTAGCCCTATCGATGAGCTGCCGGGTGCCATCAAGTTGAAAATCTAAGCTGTTGAACTTCAAGGGGCCCGACATGGCGACGGCCTTTTGGAAAAGTCTGAAAATTGAGAAGTGATTTTTTTTAAAATTTTTTTTGAACCGATTCTCAGGATCCACGTGGATACTGTGGTACATTGCGTTGACAATAGCGCCGCCGTAGGAATGACCAAAAACGGAAACTCGTTGGTTATTCCCACCAAAATGCTCGATTTCCTTCTGGACAAACTCCAGGCCAGAAATAATGTCTCAAAAAATCGCGTACATCAAAACTTTAAAAAATGATCTCACCATACATGGCAAGATTGTACGGGACAAGGGATTCGTTCTTAAAAATCACATGCGAAAATACGCCCAGACGATAAGCTCCGACGACAATAACGACGTCTGAAAACATCGAATCAGTGAGAAAATTTGTTTTGAAAAATTTTATTTTTAGTACCACAGTCAAAACATTCCGTGAATTATGGTGTTTAGGGTGTAAACACACCGAAACGCACTATTGAATACTCCAAACTTTTTTTGAACTTCAAAATTTGGAATTTTAGGATAACATTACGGAATCTTTTTCTATCCGAAGAATATGATGTTAAAAAAACATTTGAAAAATGCTAAAAAAATATATACCAGAGATTTTGAAACGTAAAAAAACTTTAAATTGCTGATTACAAAAGAAAAAAACTTGGTCTAAAAAGGGTTCCGGTTTGTGAGTCTGTTCATTAGAAAACGGGTCCTGCATAGACCAAACTATGGTATTCGTACGATTTACGGCGCCCACTCCTGGTTTTTTTAACTGTCACAAACGCCGTGAAACGCTGCTTCACATTTTCATCAAAAAACGACGATAAGTAAGATATAAAACTCGGAATCATGGAGCATCAAAGATATTTCTCGGATTTTCCGGACCTTTTCTGGGGAAAGCCTCGATGACGACCGTGTCGTTGAACATCACGGCCGAGTCGAAATTGATCGCGCCACCATGGAGGTAATAAGCGACCGCGCAGTTTTTCGACTCCTAAGATACTTATTTCTTCCGTTAAATAGTTGTAAAATCAACCAGACAAGCTTCCGACGTGAAAACGTTTAGATGAAGGCAATCCTCGTCGACCCACTTCTGGGGACTGCTCGTCTCCGAAGAGTTCGACATGCACGCCGGTCCGTATTCTGAACCAAACTTCCAAAAACATTGTCTTATTTTCACTAAAACCTTTTGAATTCCAGACTTCTTCCCATCTTCTCGGAGGTTTCGGAAGAGCGAATCGGAGGTCGCCTACTGGCGGCTCGGCGAACGGAACTTTCTATAAATTTCCTTTTCTGAGGGATCATTTTAGCATATGGTTCAGAATTTTTCTGTAAATTTGCTCAAAAAAATTTTATAGTTATTTTCCTTAAGCATGTGACACCGTTTGGAAGGAATCTCTCCGCGCCATCTGCCTATGAATGACAGCTAGGAGCATGGCGCAGTGGCTAACCCGTTGGCCTAAGGAGCCTAAGACGGGGGTTCGAGACTTTTCGTCGCTAACTTTTTTGCCATTATTTTTTCGAAGAATTCTGATGAGTATAACTATTCCAAATAAGTTTGCCAGCCATTTTCTTTATAATATGGCGCTTTTTCAAGAACAAAGCTTGGAAACTTGGAAACTTAGACTTTACAAATTAGAGGACTTTTTCATTGAAATTATTTACTCAAATTTTTAAAAAAAGTAAGTGATAATTTCGAAGTTTCAACAATTCTCTTCCATTTTTTTAAACGCTTCAACGGCCCCTTTTAGATTTTTTAAAACCGCTTCAGAGCTTTTCCCGAAAAATAAAAAAGAATAAATCGTATTAGGACAATATTTTGAACAAATGAAGTTCTAAATGCTTCTGAAGTCGATGAAACATGGATTATATAGATGAAAACTCGCAAATTTATCCTTGGAGGAAAAAACTACCTTGAAAATGTGCATTTTCTTGCCATCGATGCTTGCCGTTTCAATTCCTTCGATTTTTCCAAACGAAGTTTCGACGACCAAGGAATTCGTACATGTTAGAAACGGCAAAAGCAGAAATAATAGCATCGGACCCATTTCTGGAACCCAAGGAAAAGTGAGAAAATAATTGAGCAAAAAAGAAGATTTATATTATTAAGAACTAAAACAGAAATCACGTTTCAAAGAAATTACAGAAGCTTCTAAATACTTTTATCATTCTGATAGCACTCCATTTATATTGAGTGTAATCAAAGAAGACACGAAATACGTGACAAAAACAGGAAAAAAAACGGTTACCAACCTGTCGAAAGTGAGCAGGAACTCTATCAATCGGAGCCCTCGACCGGCCATGATAAGGGGTATAATCGATCAATGACCTTGTTTTGAACCTATTGATTTAAAAAAGGGAATATTACAGAGAAACTAAACTCGTTTAACGAAATAATAACGCTTTTAAATTGTTTGTCATTAACTTCTGAACGAAAAAAATCTTTGGATAAGATCTTTTCATATGCCTCCGATTTAAACGAAGATTTAAATTATTTAAATGATTTCGTTCGCAATTCTTCAAACTGTGTTTGATTAACATAAAAAACCGTTTTTTTTTTTTGAAATATGATTTGATAAAACTATTCTGAGAACAATGACCTTTGTAACAGGCGTATTTGCATTGAAATCCGAGCCCCATTGAACAAAAATCCGGTTAAAAATTATAGGGTACTCAAGAAACACGAAAAACGTTAATTGTCGAGTATCTGTTTCCCAAATGGAATGAGACTCTATGACCGGGGAATAATTCGATATTTTATTTTAAAAAGTATCGCAATTTGAATGTATATATCTTTCAAAAAAACGCAATGAAAAACAAATGAAAAAAATTTTTATTTTTGAAAAAGCGACCGGTAAGTTTCATTTGGCGAGAATAAATACAAGTAATTCATAATGTTAATATTATTGAATGTACAAGATTGCAACGTGATAACAACCCGTACAGATTTCTGGCTATAAATATACCCAAGGGAGGCAAATTGAAAGGAAAATGGCTCAGACGTCAGCCGGCTTGTCGCGAGGGGATATCAGGGCGTCTTTGACCTGAAAATTCTATATTGAGATTTTTTTAAACAATTTTATCGCTATAATATAAGCCTTGATTCTATATTTCTTGTTAATTATGAGAAAATTTCCTGATATTCATCTCAATTTTGGAAAAATAATGCTTCGTATTCAGTGAAAAACTCATTTTTTCGGGTCTTGAAAAATGGCTTGTTTTTTTCCCTAGTTGTGATTCTTTTAAACTAAATTCCAAGTTCTATCAGTGACATAAAGTCTGTTCAGCTTTTGAATGTCAAGCGCAATGACGTCATTCAAATCACCCTCGTTCTGATTGGCTTATGGCTGGGGCGGAGCTTGCGAGATCACTCTAAGCAAATCGTAATACCTACCTTTACATAAATGTTTACGCGGGAACAAAAAACGTACAACAGTGATGTGGTCGGCCTTGGTTGCGGCGGTGTAGCTGTAGACGTTGGTAGAGGCTCCTCCCGCGGTCGTCACGTAGCACGGCCGAAAGGAGAGGATCATCGAGTGGAGGGCGTTCCGGAACGATTCGTTGACCAACGCGTAGACGATCGGATTCACGCAGGCCGAGGCGATACCCACCAGGTGGCAGAATAGGTACCTAAAATGGTTCATGAAAAATCTTTTTCAATATTCTTGTAGAAACCATTGGAAGCAACTTCTTAGCTTGTCACGTTTTTCTTTCCGCCAAAAAGACCGTATACCAAATTAGATCAAATTTCTGCTTTTATAACGGCAAGAAACAAAGGTCTTGAAGCGAAAGTTGGTTAAATTTGACCTGGCCTTTTGGAGGAAACAAAAACGTGACAAGCTGGCGCGGAATGGCCTATATCAAGTTTGTATGAAGGGCTCAGGAAATTTCAAAGTGGTCAACTGATCCAAAAATTAGTGAAAAATCACTATAATCCCAAAAACTGCTCCTTTCTCGTCTTTTCAAAACTTTCCCTGCTGTGAAAACTTGAGCAAACTACAAACTCCCGCCCTCGAAATTCAATTAGGCTTCCCGTCCTGATGGAATAAGAATGCCAATGAACTTCCCTCATCGATTTTCACCTCCCCATTATTTTTGATCTCTGGAATTTATTTAAAAGATGGCATTTCTTCGGGAACCTCCCCTTATGAAGACATCAGCCGCAACGGTTCAACTCACATGTTCTGGGAATAATTGATGAATTCGAGGCCATTCAACACGTGATAGACGTTCATCGGCGCCCAGCAAATGGCGTATGTCAAGACCAACAGGAAAAGGAGGAGAAGAGCTCGTCTGCAGAAATTTGGGTAAAGATGGGTCTATGGGTCAATTATTTTGTACCGGTTGCGGTTTTGCATGTGAAGCCGGCGGCTCTGATCGACCGTCCGCGAGACTTTCGATCTTTTCCGGATGGTGGCCCCGATTTGGAAGTAGGCATAGGCTAGGGCGCCGAGCGGGAGCAGGTACTGTAATTTAGAAATCAAATATTGCAAAAATAGAAAAATTTCATACATTTTCATAAAAAATAAAAAAAATTCACATTGCGTTTGCAGTGCTTGCGGCAAAAAAACGACCGTTAGAGAAGGAAAAAAAGATAATGAATATTTTTTTGAGAGTCAGAGATTTTTTTCGAATATTGCACAGCCAGAAATTGATAATTGCTTAAGATGAAAAAAATAGGAAAAAAAGACGTTTATTTTTTTCTGATTCCCGGGAAATATAGTCAATTACCCATAAATTAGGAAACCATCAGCGAAATAGTATGAACAAACAAGAGATTCAGACGGCTCTGTAGTAATTTCCTACCAAAAGCTAGCAACAAACAGAGTAGATTCTATTCCGAAATCCTTCATTGGAATTTAAAAGAAGCACATGAAAATTTCAGTAAGGGATCAATGTGATTAGCCATTTTCAGCGCAAATTCAATTCAAGCGTGATTTTCGAGTCTTTGAACACCACAGAGAACGTATTCAAAAAAATTAGAAAGAGAAAGAAGGAAAAAAAAATAAAAAAGGAAGGAAAGTTTTTGAACTAATCAATAAAAAAGTGGAAAATTAGCGCCACGGCTAAGCCGTCAAGTGGAGTGTCGTATTTTTCATCGTATTTTTCTCTGATTTTTTCTTGGTTTTATGGATTGGAATTTTCGGATTTAAAAGGTTATCGTTAGAGAGGAACACAAAAAATTATTAAAATAAAAAAAACTACAAGATGGGAGAAAAATCGCTTCTACGCAGTCTATTTCATTGTACCTTTCTGAATAAGTTTTTCAGAATCGAAAATAAGCGTCAGAGAGAGGGAAAGATAACTGAACTTTGGAGGATCTGAGATAATATCTACGAGACGTAGGACAAAATAAGTGCCTTTGTTTTATTTTTTTTTGCTCGGAAACAGTTGTGATTGAACTATAGTGAAGTTTCCAAACGAAAATCCGATTTCATACCTGAATTCCCAATACGACAAAAGTGTAGGTGGTCTTGGAGATGGCGGCGTTGTCCCACGCTTCCTGCATCTCGGCGCAAACTTCCGGAAACCCCTTGTTGCAAAACGAGAGCTGAAATTTGTGGGAATAAATGTCATTTCGTGTCAGTTCTTGTGTATGCTGACAAGGTTTTTTTCGTTTCAAAACCAAAGTTTTGTCATTACTCAATCTCGAATCGCTACTTTTTCAATGTTCAGTGTTTCGGAGCAAAAAAGCAAAAAAATCATAACTTTCAAGGAAAAAGGCAATTCATCAAAAGCCTACCATTTTCGGCGTGGCTCTGTCGTTCCAGGGATCAAATGGGGCCAACTTTGACCGTACCGCCAGGGCGTACGGTAGCGCTACCATAATCGAAATGACCCAGACGACGAAATAACACATCACTGGCGCTGTGGCGGCCAAGCGCCTGGAATTTGGGGGTTTTCATGAGATTTTCATACAAACTTTCAATGAAAATGTGAAATTTTAAAATTTTCTAAAAAGATAGGAAACGCTTAAGACAATGAGATGAGGCTCCAATATACTCAAAATAACTAGTGAAGATGTTCTAAAAGACCCTCAAACTTCTGAAAACCTTCATATGGCTTCTAGAAAAAACAAATAGTTCTGGAAATTCGTCAAGGAGAAGCTCAAAAACGAACCATTTCACGGGGCAGAGGGTCAAAAGAACTCGGTCCATCGCGATAAAAGCCAGGGTCAAGGAAGAAACGAAGGTGTTGACTGCCTGGACACCGGCTAACTGAAAACGAAAAATCAGTTTTTGAAACTTTTCAATGGAACATCGTTCAAGAAAAGCTGACACCTCCGACATAAATATTTTGTCAAATTGTATTAATATTTTAAAATTCGTATTTTTCCCAATATTCGACTCATTTCCTTCTCAATTCCTAGTGCTTCAGTATACGGTACCGTCAGAATAAATACAAAAAAACGGAGTTTCAGTCACAACTTTCTTCTAATCGTTCTGAAACTTTCTGGAGTTGTAATGACTGTTCTTTTTACCCCTCTTATGTAGTTTCAGTTCACAGAGCATCTCAAATTCCTATTATTCGATGTAGAATAATTGAAGAAACCAAGAAAAAAAAAACTGAATCACACCTCGCTATTAAAGGAGCATGGAAAAAAATTTGAGAAATCTTCGAAGCGAAGAGTGGAAAGAGTAACTTTTTAATTTTAATTTATTTTCAAATTTTTTGTCATGACTTTTATAAACATTTCGTTCTAAATTTCAAAATGTTCCAGGAAATACAGCACGTTTTAACAGCACCGGGAAAAATTTCAGACTTCAAAACCTTCCCGGAGCGTTCCAACGGAACATCGTAAAAATAAATCAGTCTCTTTAATTTTCTCCCTGTCTTTCAATTCTTCCACATTGAGCCCCCGAAAAAGACGAACCACTTTGCAGGAAATATCGCCAAAGGGCCAAAACAAGTTGAGGCTCGTGTAGAGCGTCACTGGCGCCGTCACAACGCATAAAAGTAGGTCCGAGAAGGCCAAATTGACGATGAAGCTGAAAAAAAAGGCTCCCTGTTTTCAGGACTTTTGCGAAAAATCAAGGAAAAAGAATGATGGGTGCTCATTAATCGTTTCAAGAAAATTGGTCTATGACGTTTTTTTCTGCTTCTTCTTATTCGGTTGCCCTTGGCAGAGGTCCAAAATGAGGAGATATATAAATTTTATTGAATTTGAGAGCTGAGGATGCTTGGAAAAGTGGAGGAAAAAAAATTTGGTCGTTTGAAAAAAGTCATCCAAACTGATTTAGGTGACCATTTTGGTCGCACTTGGAATGGCTAAACGTGTCGCGGTCGCGTTGTGGCTTCCGGATCTATTTATGAACCAATGAGGCTTCAGAATTGAACTCTTACTGTTGCCAGAAAAGGTCTAAATTTTGTTAAAACTGAAGTTTTTTTCAGATTTTTCTATTTCAAGTGGCTCAATGCGCTCTTCAGCTTCTAAGAGGTTGAATTTCCTTTGTTTTATCTAATTTTTCATGCTAAAAAGGCTCACCTATTCCTGAGATTCCTCAGGTTCGCCGTCCTCGCAAACGCGAACAAAACGACGAAATTGGCGATGGCGCCGAACGTGCAGACGAGTCCGTACAGCGGTACGATCGGCGACCCGTCAAAGTTGATTTTGTAGACGCTGTTCTGCAGAAAACTCCAATGAATCAGCCTTTCAGACATTTTTAAGCTTCTGAAGTTTGAATTTCGTGGAAGGATTAAAATAGCTGTTGTTGGAAATCTTTTTTTTTCAATTTGCAAGAGTTTTGAAAATGTTATTCATGCGAGATTTCAACAAGAGCTCAGACGTCTTAAAGTTGAAGTTTGAATTTTTCGGGGAGCTTTTTTTCGTGAGCAGATTACGATAGTCCTTTCATAGATCATTCATCTTTTCAGCCACGTTTGTTGGCTTGTTGCGTCGCGGTTGCGTCACGGCTTTCAAAAAGAAAAAAATCCAGTTTGGTACCTGATTTTCAGTGTTCAGATGCCTTCAAAAGTGCTAGTTTTTTTTCCTAGGCTTTTGTCAATTGTTTCACTTCTTTTTGACCACATTTGGAATGGCTTGATGCGTCGCGATTGCGTGACGGCTTTGAAAAAAGAAGGGAAATAATTTTTCAAAAAAAAACTTGAAGATTATCAGATTTCAAGGCGCCTTAAAAGGTGTTGATTTTTATGACTTTCTAGGCTTTTGCCATTCATTTTACTCCTTTTTGACCGCATTTGGAATGGCTTGTTGCGTCGCGGTCATGAAAAACGGCTCAATTTTTTCCGAAAAAAGACGCCCAATATCAGATTTCAAGAACTTCTAAGCCTTAAAAATATGTGATTTGTGAAAATTTGAAAATTCTACAGCTCAGCTCGTTTTGTCCGTGCTTGGAATGGCTTTTTTTTCCCACTTTCCCAATCAAAAACCCCTTCAGAACATCTCCAATCTCACTGGAAAAATTTTTCTAATAGACCGGAAAAGCGGCCGATTCTTCCCGTCCAAGTGCCAATAAAAAACGTTACTCTACACAAAGTCGTTAAAAAACACGCCGTGAGTGTGTGTATGTAGTCGATTTGACTGGAAGCCCAAATTCTACTTTTTTCCGTCAATTTCACTATGTGTGATGAGGACACACATAAAAATAGCTCTGTGAGAAAATTTCCCATTTTTCGCACAAGATACAAAATTTTTTTTTTGCAGAGACTTGAGTCATTGTGCTATAATTATTATTTTTCCTTGGGAAAACAAAATTTGGGAGATTCCGAAAGGATAAATCAGACAGGGGTAATGGAGAAATCATGGAACTTGAATTTTCATTCAAAAAAAAAGATTTGTGCAAAAATCTCGAGTTTCAAGAGAAATGGCTAGTTGAATAACTAAAAATCAAAATATTCCAGGTTCTGGGAAGGGTTTTTAGTGGCCACTATAGGGTTTTGACGTTGTGATGGCCGCTATAGTAGTCCACTTTGAATTAGTGACCACTTGAGGGGTTAAAAATTAGTGGCCACTATAGGGTTTTGAAGTTTTAGTGGCCACTCAAGGGATTTAAAACTAGTGGCCACTATAGGGTTTTGAAGTTTTAGTGGCCACTCAAGGGATTTAAAACTAGTGGCCACTATAGGGTTTTGAAGTTTCAGTGGCCACTATAGTAGTCTAACTAGTGGCCACTTCAGGGGTTAAAAATTAGTGGCCACTATAGAGGTCTAAGTGCTACTACTTGACCACTAAAAGTTTTAGTGACCACTTTAGGGGTCAATGGATCATTATAACTGGTCCAATCTGTTTGTTTTAAAATTATCAGAGCCACTGGAAGGATCACTAGATGAAAAACTACCGAAGTGGCCACTAAATAGAGAACTTCTGGGACCACTAAAAGCGAAAATAATGGCCACTATAGAGGTGGGTTTAGTGGCCACTTTAGTGTCCTCTCCAAGTAGTCCTTGGGGAGCCTCTATACTGGCGATTAAATATTTTCCCAGTTCTTCTGAAGAAAATAATTTTTTCAATGTCTTCCTCCAGAACCCCTAACTCCGTTCTCCAAAAACCAACAAAGAACAGCCGTTTTTCTCAAACACCCAATAACCGTTCATTGAATTACCCACACGAGATTTCCGTCTGAAAATCAAAGAACGGCCTCCTCCCTTAAAAATATCCACCGAAAAGCGACATTCTATATCTTCTCCCTTCTAATTAGTAGTGCAAGGACGTAATAAAAAAGATCTTGTTCTGCAAAAAAAAAAGTTCGGCTCCAATTTCTTATTCCTCGAACGGGTTCTCTCAATTTGAGGTTCACGAAAACGTAATTTTAATTTCAATTTCGAAAAAAAAAGAAGAGCAATTAATTTTGCTTGGAGAGCATTGGGTGAGTCATTGAAAAAAGTTCTGGGTTAATTTTTTCGAAAAAGAAAATTCGTAGATTTTAAATTTTCCTACACGACTTCGTTGTACCTATTTTCAACCGAATCTTAAATCTTTTTTTTCTCTTTTCGAAGCTTTTCCGTGTTTCCCAGCTTCTGCAAAGCCCAGAAACCGGGGAAAAGACGGAAAAATCGCACATTTCTCTGTGATTAATGGCTATGAGACATTGATTGGACGCGGATAAACTGGATCCGGCAAAGTTCAAAGAGCCGTTCGACAACTGTCGGAGAAAAAAGTGACCGATTCAACAGGAAACACCTGTTTCGCAAGAAAATTCTAGCAGGTCCAGCAAAATCATTGCCTTTTTTTTTCGAGCTGTACAAAGATTCACACATGAGAAATGCAATGAGTTTGAATTCGACATAAAATTAGCAATAGAGCACGAATGGCTAGCTACTTGCGGCCATTCTTTCCCGACTATTTTTTCTTCCAAAATTTATGATTTTTTGATCGTATAGTCTACTTCTCGGCTTCAAATCTTGGAAACCTTAGAAGTCAAAGACCGTCTTTAAGAAATTAGCGTTGGAGCGCAAAAGGTTCCTATCCCGCGGCTATTTTTTCTCGGCTGTTTTCAAGCTCAATTTTGTTCTTTTTTGGCTGTATTTGATTATTTCTTGGAATGGAAAGACACTTTTCAAGAAATTAGCGTTGGAGCGCAAGAGGTTACTATCACGCGGCTATTTTTTCTCGGCTGTTTTCAAGCTCAATTTTCTACATTTTTGGCTTCATTTGTTTATAACTAACAATAGAAAAACCTATTCCAAGAAATTAGCGTTGGAGCGCGAAAGGTCACTGTCACGCGGCTATTTTTTCCCATCTATTTTCAAGCTCAATTTTATTCATTTTTGTGGAATTTTTTTGCTCAAAAGCCTCCGAAACCCCAAATAGCCCCTCGATTATCTCAAACATGCCTTTTTCTTCCATCAAACATAACATTTCTGGGAGAAACAAGCGAAAAAATAGCTGCCGGAAGCGGTCGCTCAGACTTTGAGGCATGTGTCCGCCCCCCCTGGCGCCTTGTCGAAACAAATGGAAGCCTTCCCCTTCAATCGACGAGGCAAGAAACGGGAGACGTTAAATATCTGAGGACGGCAACTTTTCATCTCTCCCCGCCAAAACCATGAATATATATATTTATACTTATTGCCTAGTCTATGATGTATAGCCTTTCGGGATAATTTCCAGTCTACCTAGGGGGGCGGAAAAAATAACTAGACGGGCAATCTTTCAACTCGAGCAAAAATGGAGCCGAAAATGAAAAATTTGAGGATTATTTCGGTTTTGGAACGGAGAAAACAGCTTTTTCTTGAAATTTCCCAACAATCAGTGATACAAGTAATTCATAATTTCCAAAGTAACTCAAATTTCAAAAATTCAACTCGACTTTCAAGCCTTCTTTTTTCCAAGCCAACCCAGGAAAATTGCCTATTTTTCTGCCCCTCAAACTTCATTTTGCAGGGCTATTTTTGGTTTTCAATTGCCTTTCATCTGCAATAAAACGACCAAATTTTTCACTGGAACCAAAATTTCGGCATGACTATGGGATATTCCACACTACAAACTTGCTTAAAATCAAGAATTGGCCACATTTTCTTGAAAAGATCCTTGAAGTCAGATTAATTTACCTCATTTCGGCTCAAAAACCAATCAAATATCACCAAAAAATCGATCGGATCATAAATTTTCTCATATTTTCGTCAAATTTATCTAAAAAAACAGTGCAAATTTATAACTAAAAACTCCAAAGAAAAACCAAAAAAATCAGCCCTGAATTTCCTCATAAATCAAACAAAAATTATCCAAATTTTTCTCATTTTCGTCTGGAAAAATTCATTTTTTTCTACGCCTAATTCCATTCAAAAACCAGATCACGTCATTTAAAAACCAGAATTTTTTCTATTATTTTGTCCTTCCAAATGGAGAAACCCATTTCAAAGCAATAATAGTCAATTTGGCGTCATCTCAAAATAGATCTGATGGAGGAAAAAAATGGCTTTGTTTTCTGTTAGAAATCTGACTTTTTTGGGTTTTTTGAGGATTCGGCAAGCTTAAAAATTGGTCCAGACTTTCTTTGAAGTTTAAAAAAAAAATTAGAGATCCTCTATAGAAAACTGCCCTAAAAATCTTGGAAGCTCAAATTTTGCTACTAAATGCGCTCCATTGATAAAAATCTTCATTCGCTCTTAAGAAACATTATTTTCGTGACGAGAAAATTGGAAATTTCCGAAAAAGTTCTTAGAGCCATAGACTGCAGTTTAAAGAAAAAAAAAGCTATTTTTTCATCAGCAAATGCGCTCCATTGATAAAATTCTTCATTCGCCCTTGAAAAAACATTATTTTCGTCACGAGAAAAATGAAAATTCCGAAAAAGTCCTCAAAGATATAACCTGCAGTTTAAAGAAAAAAAAATCTATTTTTTCATCAGCAAATGCGCTCCAATGATAAAATTCTTCATTCGCCCTCAAAAAAATATTCTTTCGTCACGAAGAAAATGAAAAATTCCGAAAAAGTCCAGACGGCCCCAGACTGCAGTTTAAAGAAAAAGAAGCTCTTTTTTCATCAGAAATTGCGCTCCAATGATAAAAAACCCCGTTACCTGATAATTTCGGACGGTGTCAAAGTAGTCGCACTGTATCTCCGACCATTGCCCCGACGCATTTGGTGGCATCTTGAAAAATGTTTTTGATAAAGTTCGAACGGATAAAGTACGAAATTAGCGGATAACACGCTAATAAGTGGGGAAAAGAATTACGAGATGCGTGAGAAAAACAAATTTGCAAGTGGAAACAGGAAATGAGCCGGAAACTTTTTATTGGCCCAGAGATCGGCTGATCAAAAGTTTGAGACTTTTATGGTCTCTTCGGAAAAAAATGAGCTAAAAATACTGTATTGACCCAGGTCGCATTTGGAATGGCTCTGACTCTTGAGAATTATGATATCAAAGTGCGCAAGTCGTTTCAGGTCTGGCGCGGGTGAAGAGTCTTCTCGTTGGAGATTCGGATTGGATAGGTATCAATTTTTGAACCGAAAAGCTCAAATTCCATGTCCACATCATTCTAGAGGCTGTCTAGTCTATGGAAATCTTATAGAACCCGAAAAAATTTGGTTAGAGACAAATAAATGAGCTAAAAATACAGTATTGACGCAGGTCGCATTTGGAATGGCTCTGGATCTTGAGAATTATGATGTCAAAGTGCGCAAGTCGTTTCAGGTCTGGCGCAACATCCGAGACGGCTTTTTTTCTAGGACACTATCGTCGGGGATTCAGAATGGCTAGGTATCAATTTTTAAACCGAAAAGCTCAAATTTCCCCTCCACATCATTCTAGATGCCGTCTAGTCTAGGAAAATCTTTTAGAACCCGAAAAAAATGGGTTGGAGACAAATAAATGAGCTAAAAACACTTTATTGACCCGGGTCGCATTCGGAATGGCTGAGGATTATGATGTCCAAGTGCGCAAGTCGTTTCAGGTCGGGCACAACTTCCGAGTCGGCAATTCTTTTTTTTCAAGTCTAGAACACTTTCGTTGGGGATTCGGATTGGATAGGTATCAATTTTTGAACCGAAAAGCTCAAATTTCCTGTCCACATCATTCTAGAGGCCGTCTAGTCTATGGAAATCTTCTGGAACCCGAAAAATGGACAAATAAATGAGGAGAAAGTACCTAAATTGACAAAAATCATTGAAAAAACTTAATTTTCTCAATCAGAATCAGCTCGATGTTCAGAAAAATCCAACCAGAAGTCGAATAAATCAAATATTAACAGTAAAAAAAGTTCCACACTGTATTTGGATCTGTTGGAACGAGCTGAAATCCCTAAGAATTGTTTGAAAAAAACGAAAATCATTAGAAAATCGAGCTTTTGTTCATTTTTTCCTACCTAGATCCATCACAAAATATGAAAAAGTTGAAAAAGAGACCAATTTTGAGACGTAAATCCAGATCTTTGAATCAAAAATAAAAGTTCTGGCCAAAAAAAGAACGCCAAAGCTCATCTATATTTGCAACTCTAATAAACCTCCACTGTAGTGGTCGTCCTTGGCTATTTTCTTGTTTTTGTGGCTTCAGATTCCAAGTTTCGTGGTCCTTGGAACCTCTCCTAATTGGTCTGGCGATAAGAATCGTGTAGCGTAGTAATTTATTTGCAAAATTCGAAATTTCGTAGGTTTTTGAGGTCTTCCAATGTCAACAAGTTGCATAATTTAGTTTTTAAGAGCACAAATCTTCGAAAAAAGTTGAGAAGAGTTTAATAAGAGGGGTGTTTAAACTGGGAGAGGGAGAGGAGAAAAAAACAGCTAGGAAATTTGAGACGACTCACGAAAAAAACCCAAGAAAATGAGTCTAGACACTTCAAGCTTTGAAAATTTTAGTAAAAATTAAAAAAAAAAACTGAACTGAACGCAAAAAAAAAAACTTGAGTATTGCAAAATCGATAAGGCCTCTGAAAAATATTATCAAAATCATTTTTCAATAAATTTTTCTGTAGAAAGTGTTTGAGAGCAATTTTTTTCAGCTCGAAAAATCTGAAATCTTTTGCAAAAAAATTCAAAAATTCGCGCGTTTTATCCACAGAGCACACTTTCGTCAAAACTTCGAAGCTATTTTATCTGCTGTAAATTTTCTCAGCTCATCATTATTCATCAAAAGCTTGAGTTTATAAAAGGACAATTGGAACTACAAAAAATTCATCCAGGAACTTCATGAGTAAAATTTTATCAATGGAGCGTAATAGTTCCAAGCTTTCGAGGCTATTTTTTCCTTACATGTTGCAGAAGCTCGGAGTTGCTCCCATGAAATTTAGAAACCGAAAAAAGACGAGATCAGGAAAAAAAAGGAAGAAAAATTCTAAAAAAGAAAAATTGACGTCAATTCAAGACCAAGAAATACCTTTCACATGTTTCATTTCCTCTATTCAAAAAAAGGATGAATGTAAAAATCAGGTTATAAAAGAAAATGTAAAATATAAAAGACGGTTGAATGTGTCTCAGCGTCGAAAAAGACAAGGTGGATTGACATTTTTCCGCCGAGGCCACGCCCAATTTCCTCGAGCCTTCGAGGGATGGGCGGAGCCTTTCTAGTAGTGGAAATGCTCTTTTTCGGGGCTCTTTGTGTTGAGCTGGAATTTTTGATGGAGCTCAAAAACTGCCAAAATGTTCTTTGAAGCTTTTTTGGGTCATGGGAATTTGTAAAGGAGCTGGAGCAACTCGAAAATTGCAAGAAAAATAATTTTGAGCTCTAAATTTTTTTCTGAAGTGACGGGTACAACTAGCAATAATCTTTAAGTGATCCAAAAAAAATCAAGATTTTTCTAAGAGAGCTGGAGGAGCTGAAAACTAATAAGACGGCTCCTTCGGGATTTTTTCTGAAGTCATTGGAAAAATTTCTAAAAGAGCTGGAGGAGCTCAAAGCTGCTCATATTAACCTTTCAGATCACCCGTAAGAGCTGGAGATTTTTCGGAGCAGCTAGAGCGACTAAAAACGGATGAAAGTGACCCTAGACCTTCAGTTTGAGCTCTCTAGCTTAAGAATTCATCTGGGCTCTTTATTCCAAGCTAGAAAATAGTTTGAAGGAGCTGGAGCTTCAAAAATCATCATAAAAGCTCTTTCTTGCTCTTCAGTTGAGAAGGAGATGGACCAACTATGACATGCAACAAAAGACGTTCCTCCAATGAAAGAATTTGAAAATTGTTCTTGAACTTTTCCAACGGAACCAAGTTGAACTTTCTGATGAGAAAATGAAGATTATATGATTTTCTAGCCATCGTAGGTAAGGCTAAAAAATATAAAACTCCTCTTCGAAGCTGAATTTTGGCTATCCTTCAAATTTTTTCAAGCCGAGGCTCTCAAAATTAGACCAAGCGGAATTAAAATCTCTCAAAAAAGTGTCTGATTTATTTCTCCCACATTGTTTTCCACGCTTACTCATATCCTCGAAGTGTTCGAAAACATGTGGATCCGACATAAAAGCCACGGGTGAAAACGGCCCCGGGAACGCAGATGTTCGCATTTTCCTTGTTCCCGGCCCCGCCCACTATTTATCGCTCCGGGCAAAACAGCAGCTTTTGCACTGAAGCTTACACACTTTTCCGGCGTTTTGAATGGCCTTGGAGTAATTGATGCACTAGTAAAATTGAGTAGTCTAGGGCTACTTGAAGTGATATTTTTTGGCTTTTCTGCTTGAGGGGAGAACTCGAAACTAATAAGAAGGCTCATTAGGTTCTTCAGTTTGAGCTAGTAAGCGTTTGAAGGAGCTGAGGTGGGACAAGGTGGATTGACATTCCCACGAGCCTTCGAGAATGACAATGGGCGGAGCCTTTCTAGTAGTGGAAATGCTCTTTTTCGGGGCTCTTTGGGTTGAGCTGGAGCAACAAAAAAATGCCAAAAATATTCTTTGAAGCTTTTTTGGGTGATGGAGATTTTTGTCAAGGAGCTGGAGCAACTACGAGAAATGGCTCTTTGACAATTTTGATATCTAGATTTTTTTTCATTTTTTTCAAGTTGAGCTGGAGCACCTTTTTGAGAAACACCAGCTTCTGTAATGAAGCTTGAACAATTTTTTGGTGGTTTGAATAAATTTGGAGTGAAAATGACACTGTCAAGGTTGTAGGGAGCTGAATTCTGGCCTTTTTTTTTTGGCTTTTCAAGTTTATCTGAAGCCTTTGCAACAAGATCGCAAGCAGCAGAGAACTGCGGGAAGAGTTTTTGGGCTCTCAAGTCATTTTGAAGGAGCTTTAGCACCTAAAAACTGATAATAAAGCTTAATATGTGAGCTGGAGCAGCACTTTTTTGAAATTGCCATGAAAATTTCCAAAAATCGGCCTCTAAAATGGACCAAGTGACACCTTTAGAAACCTCTAAAGTATCCACTTCAGGTCCTATTTTCAAATAAAACCTTTTCGATAGGTCCTTTCAAACATCATAAACTTTGTCGTCACCAAAAAACCCGAAAATTTCCCGAGAAGCCTCAAAAACCGAGTATATAATGATATCGAAAACAGAAACAAAATCGTCGATCAAAATGGAAATTTATGTTTTTTCATTGCTCAAGACCACGGGCAAATAGAATCCGTTGCATAAAACGCTCATTCAAAATTAGCATCTGGACAACAAATCCGAATAATTTCAGAGGGTTGAAAGATGAGTTCACGGTTTTTGAGATTTAGAGCCTACAAGAAAATTTGCAGTGACCCCTGAAGGGTTTAGAAATAACGAAGGTGGTCTGAAATCTTTCTTGAGCTCTTAAGGAACCACTTGAAAGCCTTTTATTGAAGTTGTACTAAGCTAAGCGGTTCAAGAAGTCACTATAAGGTTCACAAATGTTTACAACTCTTCTAATGATAACAATAACACGTAAGATGGATTCAATTGGCTGGCCACGCCCATTTTTTCAATCTTCCGACGCCTTAGGAGACTTTTGAGAAGGCTGAGACTGATCAAAAATGACATTTTTCTGGAATTTCAACATGAGGAAGACTTTGTAATTTTCCTACAAAAGCTCAAGTTTCATGCAAAGTTGGAATAATTTAACCTTCTTTCAAAGCTTCAACCTGTACTTTGGAATAAAAAAAACCTATCTGATTCACTTTCACAAAAGAAAAGAAGCAAATGTTTCTCAAGAAGGGTCTTCGACAAGAAGAACTCAAGAAAAAAAGGCGACAACCCATCGG